ATACTATAAAAAAGTACGAGATTTGGTTAAATTTTTAAAAAAGTCACCCTTGAAAAATGACTTGTTGCATAAATACTCTGTAGAATAATGTGGAAAGGGCCTGGATCTTATGCTCGACTGCAAGACTAGGTGGAACAGCTTGTCGGATATGATTGGTCGATTTTAAAATAAAAATCAAGTGTCATGAAGGCATTACTGGATTTGAAATCAAATATAAATTTTACAGAAAAAGAAATCCAAGACCTGCACGATATTCATCATAGTTTAGATGTTATAAAAACAACTGTGATGTCTTTGTGTCGCCGGGATTCAAACTTATTGACGGCAGATGCTGCTCTTCAGTTTATGTTAAATAAACTTGATCATCAGCACAACTCAGTGAAAGGCTTGCTATTTCCCTTAGAAAAAGAATAAAAGAGAGACGAACGAGTGTATCTGGTATTTTACAGTATTTGCATAACAATGAACAATTTTAAGAAACCATATCAACAGAAAACTTCACAAAACTGACGTCAGATTATATAAGGACATATATTACAAGATTATTAGAAAGGCTGAAATTAACAGCTAACACAACGTCTGCACAGACAAGTCAAAGTCCAATACAACAAATAAGCACAGGACATACTGACTCCAGTGACGAAGAGTTAACTGTAGCCCAGGAATTAGAAAAAGAGATATGTAAAGCCACGTCACAGGTAAACAAATCTACGGTTAACACAGATCTTGAGTCCATTGTTAGAGTGGAAATGTGCATCTATGATTGTGCTGGTGGTGGTCGTGGAGTTTACCTAACAGCAGCGTATAATTATTTACTATCAATTACACCAACAAGTGTTGAAGCTGAACGTGCTTTTTCTTCAGCTGGTTATCTATGTAGTAAATTAAGTTCATTAAGCGATAAAATACTAAACGCGTTGTCGTTTATGAGATCTCATTTTCAGGAAAAGTCAAATAAGTAAAATAAAAGAGCATTCTGTCAAGGAAAAAGATCTCTTTATTTTGTTATAAATCTATCTAACCTAATTTATCTAATATCTTTGTGTTGTGGTTTGAGATTAAGTTATATGATTGGTATTCAATAAAAACTTTAGTTTAATCAAAGTTCTTGTACACTTCTTACATTACCCATTGCTACCTATAAAATAAAATATTCCATTTCAAAAATATGTTAGAAATTACGTAATTACGTAGTTACGTAATTGGACCACCAAAATTCGTAATCAGTTACGTAATTAACATATCCGTAATTTTGGAAGCCCTAATAGGCAATTTATTAATGAACATTTCTATTATAAATTTTTTTTTCAAAAGACCAAAATTTGATTTTATTAAGAAATCATTTTAAAATCTGGGCGTATTCACTGCCCACGGGCTTGCTGGAGTCAGTGAGCGCTGAGCTCTTGAACGTGAAACCCGTGTCGTTAGTCAGAGCGTCGGCCAGCGCACACGCTCACGTCATCTTATCAGTCGATAATATTATTACTTATTAGGTTATTTATAGGTAGTATTATTTGTTTGTTTTGGGTATAATTTTTCGTATTAGTTATACTTATATTTTTTGTGCTTTTTACTGCGCGATGAAGCTTTTTGCGTGTATTTTCTTTGAAGTAAATGCAAATATAAAAATTAAGCACCATTAGCATGTAAGGTTTGATTTGAATTGGGCGTTTAATTTGGTCTATGGTTGTCTAATAAGGCCCGGTCGGGTAAGTCGGCCTATAGGCGACTAATTCGCCCTGGGCGTCTAAGTTGACCTATCTGCGGCATTGTGGGTTTTTACTCGACTCTCTAACTAAACTGACCATTTATTTTTTAACTCAAAACGGGACATGGGTTTATTTATACTCTAAAAACTATAACTTTATCTATTAGTATTCACTATAAAATTATATTCGGTATAGACAGTAATTATTAAATGCAACAAATTTTTTTTTTAATTATTAATTACATTTGTCAGTGGATTAAATTTGCTTTAATAAAGTTGGTGATGATTTTCAATAACAATAAAATTCTGGGCAAGTTTTTTTTATTGTTACCTTTGTTAACAACATCGCCTTTAGAACTGGAACCGTAAGTGTTTTTTCAGACGTCCACAATTTATTCAAAATAGAAAAATACTCTTTCTACTGGAGCATTTGTACCAGACAGACATAAAATATATTCGATTAAAAAAATTATGTTGAAGATTGTTGGCTTTGGATACTTCCATCCAACGAGTTACGGGACAATTTTGTGTCCCGAAGCTTTATTTGGGGACAATAGGACAGGTGACCGAGAAAAGGGACAGTCCCGTACAAAACGGGACGTATGGTCACTTTACCTATAACCCGGCGACGACTCCGTGGCGCAGTGGCTTAGCAATCAGTTGTTGCGCTGGGGGGCCGCGGGTTCGAATCCCGCACGGAACAAGTATTTGTAAGGCCTACAAATAATTGTTCCGGGTCTGGATGTTTGTCCTTGTGCAATTTATGTTTGTAAACTGCCTCCACGACTCTCATTCTATATTATTCTCACTCTGCGAAACATCCTATTTATTTATTTATTCTTTATTGCACCAAATATTTGTACAAAAGGCGAGCTATCTATCTATTTACCTAGGTATCTTTTAAACTCACAATTTTCAATGCTTCATTTTTAATATATAATTAATTATAAAATTTCATAATTAGATAATATATGAGAATACATAATTCTAATATATTGCAACTAATATACCGAGTAAAAAATTAAAATACATTTATCGTTGTACGCTGTGTGTATTTCCATAAAATAGTTTATTGATGTTGAAAAAATACTACGTTAGTACAGTAGGTGGCCTGAAAAAATCACTTACGGTTCCAGTTCTAAAGGCGATGTTGTTAACAAAGGTAACAATAAAAAAATCTTGCCCAGAATTTTATTGTTATTTAAAATCATCACCAACTTTATTAAAGAAAATTTAATCCACTGACAAATGTAAATAATAATTTAAAAAAATATGTTGCATTTAATAATTACCGTCTATACCGAATATAATTTTATAGTGAACACTAATTGTATAAAGTTATAGTTTTTAGAGTATAAATAAACCCATGTCCTGTTTTGAGTTAAAAAATAAATGGTCAGTTTAGTTGGAGAGTCGAGTAATAACCTGCCATGCCGCAGATAGGCGAACTTAGACGCCCAGGCTGAATTAGTCGCCTATAGGCCGACTTACCCGACCGGGCCTTATTAGACGAACATAGACCAAATTAAATGCCCAATTCAAACCAAACCTTACATGCTAAAGGTGCTTTATTTTTATATTTGCATTTACTTCAAAGAAAATACACGCAAAAAGCTTCATCGCGCAGTAAAAAGCACAACAAATATATGTATAACTAATACGAAAAATTATACCCAAAACAAACAAATAATACTACCTATAAATAACCTAATAAGTAATAATATTATAATATTATCGACTGATAAGATGACGTGAGCGTGTGCGCTGGCCGACGCTCTGACTAACGACACGGGTTTCATGTTCAAGAGCTCAGCGCTCACTGACTCTAGCAAGCCCGTGGGCAGTGATTACGCCCAGATTTTAAAATGATTTCTTAATAAAATCAAATTTTGGTCTTTTAAAAAAAAATTATAATAGAAATGTTCATTAATAAATTGCCTATCCATTGGTGTAAATCACAAAATAAAATAATACTTACTTTACGAGGAGATGCATGTTATCAATAATTATTTCACATTTATGTGGTTTCGTTGGAAGGAGATTATATTAATATTTATTCCTTTAAAAAAACATTGGATATAGCTCTTATGGAATCAAGATTATGTAGAAATATAATGTGTTTTTTATTTGTTGATATATCTTTTAAATAAAAAGTAGATAGCTCCTAAAAACCGCACAAATAACGACTAGCGCGACATTTTGCTCAACCTGCGCCTTAACCAGTGACGTCACGACGGTATCTAATATGGCGGACAGCGTTTTGCAGATTTGAGGCACAGATAAGAAAAATATTCTTAAAATTGAAATATAAAATTTTATAATGCATTTTTATAAATAGAAATCAATGTTTCTCGTTTACTTTTCCAAAATCTATCATAAATATTTATATTTTTTTATTTTTTTCACATGGTGTAAAATACCGTATTTATTTAAGTGCATATTTTTTTCCAAGCATATACAATTTCAAGAAGTATTAATTCACGAGCGTCAAAATCATGTCTATTATACCGATGTTTATGTCCAACCAGGCCTTAATAATAATGATTCTTTATTGACATTTTTATAATTTAAGGTAGCAGTACACGTTGGCCGAACGCACTCGGCGTGTACTGGGCCGTTTTGTGTGTATTTGGCGTTTGCGGCCGACAAGCCGTATAGTGTCGGTTTTCCGTGCAAAAATCAAAGAAATTTGGCGCAAGCCGCAAATAGAGATCACACGTTGGCCGAGTGTTCAGTTCATAGTTACGCTTTACGGCTTAATAAAATGATTTCACGAACATTGCGACATGACCTAATGAGGAAATATTTAGGTACATTGATTCTTATCACAATGAATCAATTATATGGAACCCCAAATATGAGCAACATAAAAATAAGGCCGTGATCACTAACGTCCATCATCATCTAGCTACCAACGCAGAATGATGCACGGCAACGTGTGAACAGCACCACAAAAATCTGCCGAGCGGGCCCGCCAAGCGCGCTCGACCAACGTGTACTGGAGCCTTGAAATACTTTACAAATATATATACAACTAGCGACCGCCCCGGCTTCGCACGGTTTACTTCTGGATCTCGACAACATCGCCACCTACCCGATAATGTCGTGGATGCCCTCATTAGAAATGGATAGAATCCTGAGTGTCCTAGCTAGGTTACTTAGTAACCTGTATTTAGGAGATACAGTCCTATACAGTCTTAAACACTATTAGGAAAGTTTTTTTTTACCTTTGAATCTTCAATGATTCATGATATACGTGTGCAAAAAGTAAATAGTCATTCAATATTTTCAGAACCTCTAAAGCAGTATGAAGTGCAATATGACGACAAAGTCGCCATTGAAGACTCCGATCCGGAACGTTGTCCGTACGTCCATTTAACAGCCGTGAGTATACATTTCATTTTATATATTAATTTCACTAATTGTTAAACGTGGCTTGATAAGGCATATTATAAAATTAACTTTGGTACTTTTATAATATACCTTATCAAGCCACGTTTTTAGTTTTAATGTATTGGAACGAAGTTCCTTACCGCATGGTACGAATTTGGCGAGTGGGCGCTAGGTGAGAAAAAGTGTAAGATTTTTCCGTCACGACTCTATCTATAGTGCGAGCGAGATGGAATTATATCCATCTCCCTCGCACTTTTTCTTATCTTGCCATGAAAAAGCGGCTACTCACTTGCCTTGCTGCAGGGGCAATCTAGGGTGTATTTGTGGGGGATGACCCTTAATTGTGATGTGTGTTTGAAAGCAGGGGCAATTTTCTAAGTCGGCCCTGTGGCAGGCCGGCAGAGGCGCAAGACGCTCCTTGCTCCCTAGATTATAGCTACCGCTGCCACCTGTGTAGCACAATTGTGGCAATTTTAATCAGTTCGTTAGCGACTTTTGCTCGCAGCACACATCACAATGGATACCAATAAAAAAAATGTGAAATTTGGACACTGGCGATAGAAGTGTATAAAGAGCGGCTTCTTCACCCAGTATCTCCTTTTTGTCTTTTTTTTTAACCACAAAAATAACGTTATTTGAACGTTGTAAACGTGGTAGAGTCATGCTGCGGCTTTTAAGGACTATGTTATGGTTGTAATTATTAACTAATTAGGTGTTTTATCAATAAATATGAGTATCTATGCGCCACAGTATCCATTTATCATCAGCAGGCCTGTGCTCATTTGTCACCCTTATTCTATATAAAAAAGAGCCAAGGCTATATATATACCGATTCATTGATATTACGATAAAACTGGCGCCATTCTCAACGCGTGTATCCAGCGAGACGTACACTCATACTAAACGGCACGGCAGGCATGTGTATAGAGACAGTTCTGATATTGCGGCAGGCAATTGCCTGTAGAAATAGAGTAGCCATCTAAAGAAATATTATTTTAAATGACGCTTCATTTTAATAGACGCTAGTAATTCATTTATTTGTATTTGTTAATCAATAATATAATACGTTTATCAGTAATAATGTACTACGAAAGGAACTTCGTTCCAATCGAGCGTTCCACGGCACTCACGCATGTTTGTTTTTTTACTAACCCCAGCTACAATTTAATTTGTTAAAACACATATGGGCTCTGCCTGAAATAAATAAATAAATAATAACATCTATCTGTATCTACCAAGCGTTTTCTAATATGATTTATATTGTTACTAAATCATTATTGTAAACTGTTTTTTTGTTTCAAAAGAAATGTCTATTCTTGTCGGTTCTTCTCAGGATATAGGTATTATTCTCAACCAGTGGTGATATGTAAAATGCTGACACTCATTAGTTGATATTGTTACGCGCCACTATTAATGTCTTGTACATGGCAACACTAGTTACACTAGCGCCCCCTAGTGTCGAGTAAATGAAAGTATTGCGCGCCACTATTAATGTCTTGTACATGGCAACACTAGTCACACTAGCGCCCTCTAGTGTCGAGTAGCAGAACTAGGAGAGTCGAGATCCTTCCAGAAATTTCGGGACCGATATGTACTCGAACATTCTAGATGTCGCTACAGTAGAAGGTTCTGGAAACTATCTGAGGCCCTATATTAGACCGGTATAGACCACGACCGGAGCAGTATTGAATTGGCGATACAAGAGAATACTTCGAAGCGAAATAACGGCGAACTGTGTTTTATTATTAGTGTGATTTTTGATTGTAATTAGTGTTGTGTAATTAAAGTGTCAATTTTGGTAATTCAGTCGGCAGTTTTTAATTGTCTCGAACCCGAAGCTCGTAACAAAATATTGTCTATATATATGTACCATATTTACACCCACACCCAATCCACACACACAAACACACATACACACACACACACACACACACATACACACACACACACACACACACACACACACACACACACACACACACACACACACACACACACACACACACACACACGCGCGCGCGCGCGCGCGAATGTATGTCAGCATGATCACTTCATGTTATTTTAGTTTTTAAACTATAATATTATTGAATGTTATTATTTATGTTTGATATTCTTTGATTCCAGGTGCACGAGTACACGTACCCGCAAGTAGGGCCGGGGGGCGTTATTAGTTCAGAGAAATCCTCGCCCAACACGAAACCACCGCTGCTGAAGAGGGATTCAGGTAAATTTATATAGTATTTTTATAATGTAATTGGTACTAACTCTCTACCTGACTGCCTCGTTGATCTAGTGCTCGTAAATGCGATTGTTGATCATTAGTCATCATGGGTTCGAATCCAGGGTCAGTCCAAAATCAGTTATTGGGTTTTCTGTTAAGACTCAGGAAGTTAGCGGTGCTTAATTCCACGTAAAGCCGTTGAGCCTGCGCCTGATCTCTCTCTGGTAGTGTCGGTTTACCGTCCCATCGGACTATGAGAGTGAGGGAATAGCATGAAGCAAATACAAAGAGGAGACGGCATAAGCAACTGTGCACTGTGATTCTAAGTAAGTCCTGACGTCATCATAGTGGGCGTGGCTTTATTAAGTATACTGTCAGCATTCGTCATGTGCGCTTATGTGTTGAAAATCGCAAATCGGTGTATTTTCGTAGTATTAAGAAGAAAAGGATGAAGTGTTGTGTTTTATCGCGTTAAAACTACTCAGATAGACGCTCTGATTCTATGGATGGCATCATAATTTTACACCTAAGTTATTTATGTTTTTATTAAAATAGTTCTAGAAAAATCTTGCATCGGCTTTCCAATATAATTAAATATATTCGACACTAGATGGCGACACTTTGTGTCATGTGAACTAAAAATAAATATATATATATGTTACGGCCTACGGTTGCTCCCTTAAAGGATCCAATCCTCAGGGGCCCATGAGCTGAAGACTTCCCGAACAGACGTAGGTCGGGCCTCAATGTGGCCACGTGGAATCTCTCTAATTACACTAAAATATAGGGGGGAGCGTTATACTACGGCCAGTCGACCGGAAGGAATTTGGACGAAGCTTACTTACCTATATCCAAGGCGACTGGTCCCTCCGGAGTCTGTCAGGTCGCATGTGGTTGTGTAGTGCAAGGGAAAGAATGGTGATGTGGTGTGTATCTGGGTGTGACTGATGGTGATTGAACCTAGACCTTGGCCGTCGGCAGCAGCCCGAGCGTCGACACCGCTCCAACTTGAGGGGGCCTTTCGAGGTTGTCCACAGTCACTTTCTTCTTTCGTCACGTTGACAGTCAATTAACTCTATCGTACGATTTACTAACTTACAGAAGCCACTAACTATCGCTGGTTATAAGGTTAACACACAAAACGCACACGGAGTTTACAGTTTATTAAAGGTCACTACCGTTTCGCTTCGCAACAGTTAGTTCTAGAATATTAGAAGCCGCACTAGCTAATATTGCCTAATGCACTTATGCACATTCTGAGTCAAACACAATGAGTCCCTGGGAAGCTCTCCAGCAGGAATGCGCGTCACAATGATAGACCGTATATTTACTGGCCGCGCCGAATTATTCCGAGTTCCCTAACAGAATACCGCGTGCTCACGTCAGCACCGCTTAAGGACGACTGAATGCCCTTGGGCGTTTTTCGCACGACCGAAAGTCGTGCGTCCTCGGTAGTATAGTGGTCAGTATACCCGCCTGTCACGCGGGAGACCGGGGTTCGATTCCCCGCCGTGGAGCCAGTTTGTTACGGCCTACGGTTGCTCCCTTAAAGGATCCAATCCTCTGGGGCCCATGAGCAGAAGACTTCCCGAGCAAACGTAGGTCGGGCCTCAATGTGGCCACGTGAAAATTCCTAATTACAATAAACCAGATGGGAGGACGTTAGAAGGACATAGTACTTACCATTATCCGAAGCTAACTTCGCACCAAGGCTTGGGCAGGCCGTGAGTGTGTGTAATAGTGGATGGAGAGTAGTGTACAGTGAGGGGTGAATGTGTGGGGCCTTGTTAAGCATAGGCGACCAGCTGCTGCCGAGTTCCAGGCTGCTTCGGCGCCGGACCACAGTCACTTTCTTCTTTCGTCACGATGACAGTCAATTAACTCTATCGTACGATTAACTAACTTACAGAAGCCACTAACTATCGCGGGGTATAAGGTTACCGCACAAAACACGCACGGAGTTTCTGGATCAAAGGTCACTACCGTTTCGCGTTGCAACAGTTAGTTCTAGAATACAGAGGCCGCACTAGCTAATATTGTCGAATGCACTTATACAGATTCTGAGTCGGACCCAATAAGTCCCGGGGAAGCTCTCCAGTAGGGATACGCGCCACAAAATTCCTAGACCGTATTTTTACTGTCCGCGCTTAATTATTCCGAGTTCCCGCGCTTAATTGGCAGCGTGCCAATCGTGAGCACTGCCTAAGGACGACTGCTGCGCTTGCGACCCGCTCGCCACTTGCCATGCCCGGCCGAATTTCAAACCGGTATCGCCGAGCTTCGCGCCCTCTAACGTCAATCCCGAAATCAGCGTTCGGGCGTAAACAATATATATATACATAAGTACCTACGTAGAGCTCAGTATTGGTAAAATAATCATACGAAGGTGTTGAAATTTGTTTTGCATTCAGACCAAAGAAATTTTAATCGCCATAATATTATTTTTATAGTATTATAATCATTTTATGAACATGCCGCCATCTATCGTCAACGTAGCTAAACTACATTGCAACATCGATATGGAACGATTCGAGTAGTTTTATTATTTATCGGTAGATGTAGATAGTGTAGTGGGCGGGGCTTAACATCCCCTCACCCCGCAAATCGTCACGCGTTGTTACATAGTGAAATCTAATTACAACACGTCCTCTTTGTATTTGCTTCATGGGGAACAGACAGACACAGACAAAAACTTTAAAAATTGTATTTTTGTTATTAGTGCCGTATATACTTTCATATGCATTTAGTAAAAATTTGATATTACAAACAGACACTTCAATTTTATTTATTTGTAAACATATTAAAATACGTTGTACACAATAACAGGTTCAATAAAGAAATGCACCTGCGCCGGACCGCCGCCATTGCCACATAAGAAACCCACGGAGACGTTTCAAGCGCGATTGAAATGCAGGTATATGTCCCTTTGTCATATTCTTTCATATAAATCATTATAATGGGCAAACGAGCTTGCTTCACGTCTTTATTTTTAATTTAATTTATTTATAAAACCAACAGCGTATACAGAAATTATTAAAAAGTAATGTAACATACCAAAAGTATGGCTAATAACAGTTTCCCCATATATTTAAATGTCATAGAGTTACGCTGCAGCTATATTAGTAGTATAGTTGTAGCGAATGGGTCGGCTGGACCGGGGAAGCACCACGCTCTCACAGAATAAAATAGCAGCTTAACACGCTGCTGTGTTTCGTTTGGTGAGCGTAGAGAACCGGAGACCCTTTTTACTAGAAATGAGGTACCCCATCTTAATCCTCAGGGGTAACAACGCGTCTGCAGTTTGATTATTAATCGAGGATAGATGTAGATGTCTATGGGTCACAGCAACCACTTACCATCAGGTGGACTGTGTGCTTGTTTGTCACCCTCGTCCTATAAAAAATATTGTTGGATGGTAGAATGTTGTCGGAAGAAATTAGAAAGGAAATTATCTAATAGACTAATTATAAGCAATTTAATGTAATAGAGGTGGTCACAAGCTTGCAGATAACTTAAATTTTTTGGAAGGTCCCCATAGTGGCCTGTTGCAACACCAACGAGACGATGATCCTGTTACTCTGCCACTACTTAACTTTTTTATTATCATTAACAGCATTGCAGCTATATTAGTAATATAGTTGTAGCACGAATGGGTCGACTCGACCCGGGAAGTACCACGCTCTCACAGAACCAACAAGTACCAGTGTAAAATAGCAGCTTAACGCTGCTGCTGTTTCGTATGGTGAGTGTAGAGAACCGGAGACCCATTTTACTGGAAAAGAGGCATTCCATCTTAGTCCTCACGGGTGACAACGAATCTGCATTTTCATTCTTTATTGAGGATAAATGTAGATGTCTATGGGTCACAGCCACCACTCACACACCATCAGGTGGACTGTGTGCTCGTGTCACCCTATCCTATAAAAAAAAATTGGAAGAAAGTTAATGGCTAAGGCCCCCCTGACTATGGATGCTGCCTGCTAAGTACTTGAAAAGTGAAAGAAGAAATATTTCGCGTAAAATTCCGTAAAATTTGTAAAAAAATATTTTTATTGTTGTTACAGGCACTGTCACGAATGGTATTTGGAAAGTGCGAACCGGCCTGGCGCTTGTGAATTTGCACCGGACTGCTTCCGTTCGTGTATTGACTGCGTTACTTGCATCAAATGCGCGCAGGTAATGGACCGTATCAATTTTCTTCATTATTTATATTTATTTATTTTACTTCATACAATATGAAGTATAGGCGGACTTAATGCCTGAGGCATTTTCTACCAGTCAAAATTTGGGTGATGCAGAAAAGGTGATACAGAGTTAATAATATGAAGTAGGTGTATGAAATGTTAAAAGATAGAAAATTAAATTAAAATATGTAAATATAAAACAATTTAATATATATAACCTACCCATACATAAACTTGTATATCAAAAATTATTTAATACATTGTAGTATTATATATAAATCATGTACATACTTATCATAAATAAATCACATACATTATCTTTATATATAAAAATTACGTGTCACATTGTTTGTCCGCGAAACTACTAAATTGATTGCAATGAAATTTCGCACACTGTGTGCAGTTTGGTCCAATTTGAGAGATTGCCACCCGTGAGGACTAAGATGGAATGCCTCGTTTCCAGTAAAAAGGGTCTCCGGTTCTCTACGCTCACCATAGGAAACACAGTAGCGTTGAGCTGCTATTATACGCTGGTATTCTGTGAGAGCGTGGTCCTTTCCCGGTCGAGCCGACCCATTCGTGCTAAAACCATAATATAGCTGCAGCGTGGATCTACCACGTGTAACACACGACATGGAACTCTTCAGCTCGAAGAACATGAGCCTCCCCCAAAGATTGACTCATAGGGAATCATCTCTTAATGCCGAAGCTTGGCAGGCGGGTTGGCAACCGTAGTTTTTTATAATTTTGAATTGTTATAAAGAAGATGCTGCTTCCCATCTTCTGTTTTTAACCCACTACGCAAAAAGAGAGGTGTTATAAGTTTGACGTGTAGCTCTTAAACATGAACCGATTTGGGTGCGGTTGATTCTTTTTTTAATTTAAAAGCAGGTTTTCTAGCGGTGGTTCTTAGACATGTATAAACTCGATTCAGCCGTTTAAAGGTGCTGTTTTGTTTCGGGGGTTTTTAAAAGTTTCACTCTGTCGCCTATTACGAAACCCACGGGACGGTATAGAATATCGGATATTCTTACACCGCACCTACATAACCGTATAGAGATTTTTCTGGCATTTCCCCAGTTGCTTTTATTTGGTTTTTATTTCATTTTATTTTTATTATTATCAAATTTTAGTAAAAAAATTATTTCTTTTCGCAGTGTATGCTGTACCACTGTATGTCGGACGCAGAAGGAGAGTTTGCGATGCATCCCTGCGCGTGCAATAAACCAGACGAAGCTTGCGCTAAAAGGTAATGTTTTAAAGAAAATTTCAAACAGTAAGAGTCGATTGCAGTCTGTTATTTTGTAATACGAAATTAGTCTACTTAGGACAGGATTAGCTTTTTCAGATTAATTTCGAAATGGGTACTTCACATTCTGATGGCTCAGTAGTGCGGTGTCTTAGCGTTAAGTTGCGGCGCTGTGAGTCGTGACTTTGAATCCTGCACAGAACAAGTGTTTTTATGGCCAACAAATAATTGTTGCATGTCTGAATGTGTGTCGGCGTACAATTTATGTATATAAAGAGCCCGTTCATGTTACAGAAGAAAATCCTGCTGTGGGGTAATCTATTTTTTAATAGAATAAGGATGACAAACAAGCACACAGTCCACCTACAGGTCTATTCACGTCATTAAAGGGAAATCGACTGAGATTCGATAACTTCTCGCACGGAAACCAATAAACGCTATTCAAATTCGAAGTTCGGATAAATTTGGCATTCGTTTTCGGGATTCTGTGATTTGATTCGGATCAAATACTTGACGAAAGAAACCTTCCTGTTTCCGAGAGAAATCCTTCCGAGGCATTGTGAAAGCTTGGCTGATTGTAAGTAAATTTTCTGGCTAATAGACATCTAATCTAGTATTGATTGATGAAAATGCTGATACGTTATAATCTTAGGACTAAGATGGAATGCTTCGTTTCCATTATAAAGCTAGAATTAAGCTGTTATTTTAAGGTGGTTTGCCCTTTGACGATTTGACCATTGATAATCATGTTTTAACGGTGTGAGAATATAAGGGGTTATTTTGCAATAACTGGCCAAATTTGCAGAGAAGGTTCAGAATAAGCAATCAGCAAATGGTAAAGAAAAATTAATTTAAAAAAAAATCTCATGCATTCTATCCTTTTCATCTTTGACACGCACATTCATAAGGGTCGATCGGTAGGCAAAAATGTTGTTGCCCATAAATCACATTCAAATTGGTATAATCTATACAAATAAATAAAATTGAAGTGTCTGTTTGTAATGTCGAAATAACAGCTTTTTACTATATGCATATCAAAGTATATACGGTACTTATAACAAAAACACGATTTTTAAAATTTTTTGTCTGTCTGTATGTCTGTTTGTTTCGGCTAATCTCCTAAACGGCTGGACCGATTTTCACCAGACTTTTACTGGCAGATTGCTGATTTTATAAGGAGTAACTTGGACTATTTTTATTTTAGAAAAAGAATTAGGGTTCCGCGCAAAAAAATAAAATCCATGAAATTAATCGTAATAAATTACACGCGGGTGAAGTCGCGGGGAACAGCTAGTTTCAAATAAAAGTAGAAACCTTATTTATTCCTATTTTTAAAAACTGAAACAACCAACAGTATATTTATATATTTGAACTTAAGTTTTTAATTTGCCTACTCTTTGAAAAATAACCCTGTGTTATCCTGATTTTTTTCTTGCCTGAAACTTGGCAATTATGACAAATATTCTCTGTATGAAACAATCTAAGGGCAGACCTATGTACAGCAGTGGAATTTTGATTGGATGTAAAGGTGACTGTAGACAATTGCAGTACATAGGATGTTTATCGTTAACAGATGGATTGGTGTAACGCTGCTGAGCCTGCTGGTGCCGTGCCTGTGGTGCTACCTGCCGCTGCGCTGCGCGCACCGCGGCGCCCGCGCGCTCGGCTTCGCCGGCGGACACCACGCGCCGCACCAGAACTAGCTGCTCGGAATTAATGTGGCCAGCGGGCAAACTGTGTTGGATATAGTGAATACAGTCATGACGAACAGATTTCTTGTTGCGATCATGGACGGTGGGCACACAAGTTTAGCAGGATATAGTGAAAGGACTGTAAGGGAGATTGTGAAATACAGTGATACAAACGGACTGCTGCTTGTAAACAAACATTGTCATGTGTAGAATACAACAGTGATCAAAAAATCTACTGTTGTGAACGTGGGATGCTTGCAATGTGTGTGTAATACAGAGATAATAAAGCAATGGCTTATACTGGTTTGCGAGGTACAGTGAATATAGTGAAGGTGAAAATGACTCCTTGTAGTACATAAGTATTAAGAGGAGATTGTGAAAACACAGTGGTGGCAATATGATCTGCAGTTTGCAGCTGTGAATACGAGAGGAGGAAGAGAAAGAGGGAAGATGTTATTTGTGAACCATAATAAATACAAGAACTAGACCGATGCTTGTATAAAAAAAGTGAAGTGGATACGGTTGAGCAAGTTGTATGAACTTGTAAAATAAGGAAATTATTAAATCAATTGTTGTTAACGTGGACAGAGAAGGAAGATTTTGTGCTAAATCCCCTACTAGTAAACAACATTGATAATGGGGGAGGTAATGTGAGCGACATAGTGAGAACTGAAGTGAATTTGACGTGGGGAACATAGTTACGATGAGCCATCTACGTTGTGAAGAATATGATCAGATGGCGAGTTCATGTATTAAAGCACTGTATACCATATATATAGTGAAATGGGTTGTGATGAATCATTAGACCCTCAGTATAGTTCCAGTACAATGTGTTGATGAGGAAACCAAGAATTAGATAGATTTGACGTGAAAATTAAGTCGTTTTGGAACATTGAATTGCTCATAGCATTGTTTAGAAAAGGGAAGAATAACGCATGCATGTTATTCATGTATATTATTTATAAAAAATGTCCTGGCACAAATACACTCAATTAACACACTGCCATGTTTGTTTACTAATTCGCACAAAGTGTGAGCGTCGTTATAATGAGATTAATGATCATTATGTATAGTTAAACTTAATGTTGAATGCTTCTTAAAATTTAGTGGTGCCAATGTAGCCACAATAATTCGTACCACTGTGAACCCTACATTTTTTTGTATTCCAATAAAATACACACAGAGTTATATGAAGTAGTCTTCCATGAAAATAAGATAAGCAAGAGATTCTTCAATGGCTTACATTGTCGAGCTTCAAGCCTCTTTTGATCATCCTAACTATAAATAGATGGTGAATCTTCTGAGAATGATAATTTAACAAAATAGACTATTAAATATCAACCTCTAATAAATTAACATATTGAATAAAAATTTTAGAAACATGGGGTGTTTAAATTTATAAACATGTGGTAGCGGGAGATAGATCCACTATCCCATTCTTTGATTGAGCAATATTATTAAAACCCAGCTATTGGAATGATAAATAAACATAAAGATATACTTTGAATTCCTGAAGAGGAGTTCCGCAGAAGCTAAAAGCTCTGCAATAAATAAAGCCAGAGATGATTTTAATAATATAGATAAAGAATTATTTTAAAGTTTAACAAGAAAACAGCCAGTTATCTATTAAATGCATAGAGTCGTTTACAGACCAACACTTTTTAAAAGTATAGACATGTAAGAGTGTTCGGAAATTGAAGTCCAAAGATGTGCTAATTGGCACATTTTGCTTTGAAATTCATTGATGTTTTAAACACTTTGGAAGCTTCATATGTATATGTTTCATATCTATACTTTTTAAATATTGGAATTTACAATATACAGTGTACACATTGGGACATGTGAAGTTTACTGCTGACACATTAAAAATGTGAATTGACTGTAATTGAGAGTTGCCAGCATTAACGCTGCAATGGACTTAAATTAATATGGCAGTATGAAGATGTGTAACTGTGGACAGCAGTAGAAATGTTTAGCTAGTAGCATAAGTTTGGTATAACAACACTTTTATTTATTTCTTTGTACCAGTATTAAAATATTTATTAATATTACATATTGTTATTGTTAGTGAAACGTGGCCGTGTATGTGCAAATGGTCAAAATGTCTACGTGTGCTAATGTTAACAGTGAAATCAAACTATCAATTCGCCATGAAAATAAGGAGCATGCTCGTTACATGTGTAAAACTTTATATTATATTGATAATTGTGCCATAACTCGTAACGTCGTTTTAAAATTCATTTACACATCTTTCTATAAGTCTTCCACGACTTATGAAGTTATTATGTCATTTGGGGAACACTTTGATACACTTTTTCACTTTCATTTTGAACTCTGCGATACTTTGTGATTAACACTGTTTCAAGTTATGCTTTAATGTTTATTTTTATATTTCAGCATGTTTCTCGTATTATATATGTATCCAAAAGCGAATAAATGATTGTTTATTTAATTCAGAGGCTTCTGTGATAAAGTGTCCATCACATTAGGTTGTCTAAAATTGTTACATTTGATGTTGGTTGGGTATGTTTGGTTGTTTTCTCTGAATTTTATAAATTATTATTGATGTAGATTCCAAATTATATATAAGGTTAACATATCTCATTAATGTTGTTTAATAACTAAGCTTCTATCATTAATTCAATGTGTTGACTTGGAATGTTGACGAAGATGAAGTTTTAACCGTCATAAACTTTATATTAGTTTTAATTCCATTTGCATGACAATGAATGATTTTAACGCCTAAGTAAATGGCTTTTCCATTGGGTTATATTGAGATTGTGTTAGGAGCTGTAGGTACTATACGGGTTGTAGGTTACCTAGAAACTTGTCACATTTTTCACCGTTGTAATTTAAATATTTAAAATAGTACATTTCATAGGTGATAGTGGGACGCGTTGTATAAAATATATTGTGCACATGGAAGTTGTGATGTCACTTGGAACGTAAAATTTAATTATTTACTTATTAAAAATAAATTGATATGTTATACAGAAATTAATGTTTAAATGTGAAAAGTAATTATTTATAATATTTAATGTTAAAAGGAATTCATTCGTAATTTGTATTTTCCATCACGTAAATTGTAAATCGTGGACAGTTTTCCCTTCCAACAGTTGTGCACTCGTTCAGTTTTGTTGATAAAAACCGACCAATAGTTTATCTATAAGTAAGGTACCAACGGAACTGTTTTCGGTTGCCACGAGGGATACTTCACACACTATATAAGTTAAAACACAAAGTAATATATAAATTATATTGGAATACAAAATATAAAATCCTTGATGTTTTTATAAGATAATGGGCTCACTTATGGAAACTTCTGTGGATTTTGTGTTTTGCATGTTTGCGCTGTTGATTCCTATTGTTGGATCTACATCGCAAATTCTGTCAGGAGCGATAACAGATTAAAGAAACGATTTCTACTTCCGAGCTTGTCGGTTTTGTGTGAATTATCTCTTAATTATTACCGAAAACCTTTTCGTAGAGAATTGTTACACCTTTAACCAAAATAAAGAGACGTTTGTCGAAATTTAAAACTATCGATAGGTCAGTGTAATAAGTGTTTTAATTGTATTAACTATAAGACATTGTATTTTAACTTTTTTAAATATTGAAAAGTCTTAATCCTGTCTAAATATGTTCTATTCCGTTTTTAAATACTGTGAGATCTAGAAATATAAAGAGACTATTATTTACTGTAGTAAATTTAAATCTACATAAGATAAAGTTATCAATGTTTAGTGTTGTATTATAAATATATATATGCAGTGAGAACACAGATCACAATTTGAACACGAACCAAAGTTTAACCATCGCAATGTGCAATAGTTTGAAAGGTGAAATGCTGACACCCAATATGGTTGTTTTATGTAATTAAAAGATAAATGTATTGAAATATAAAAATAAATAATTCTACTTGAGTTTGTTTTTCATTTTGCGACGTAACTGAGGGAAATGCCTATTATTTTTTTTTAAATTTATTTAGAGAACTACAAACAAGTTTACAATATATCTTATGCTAAAGCTTATATTCTATTACAATTTATTACTTATCATAAACTAACGACGATGGTCACATGTAGAGTATAAAACATATAATAATTATGTGAGGGACCTAATTTTTGTAACAATAAAGTACCTTAATTTCTAAAATATTGTTTAACATGTATTAGAGGTTACAGTTTTGTGTTCGTGAGTTAGGATGTGTGTGCGCGCGCGTATTTATAATTTATAGTTAGTGTTTGTTGTTAATGTGTTCAAGACTTTAAAAGAGACATTAAATGTTTAACAGCAAGGTAACTATCGGTCTATTGTATGATCTGGTACTGAAAGAAAATAAATCTACCGAATAAAATTTTTTGTTGTATGTGTCAACCATACGATGAAGGGGCGATCGGAAATTGAAAATGTATTTAGTTAAAATTTTTACTGTTTGGGTCTGCAGTCTATTCTCTGATTTCAAAATTTATTATATATACCTCTCCGATTGTCAACACAGTCTCAAGCGAGGTCGTTCATCTTATACCGTTCATTCTGAGTTATCTCAGGAAATCGATAAAGGTATGCAAATACATGAGGTATTTTACTATGATTTTAGCAGCGTCTTCGACAAAGTAAACCATACCATAGTTATTGAGAAGTTCGAAGCGTTCGGTCTGGAAGGCAATCTCAACTGAAATGATACGAATCATATAATGAGATGTCCTCAAAATGTAAGCGTTGATGGCTACGAATCAGATGTATTTTACTAAGTAGCGGTGTTTCCCAAGGGTCTCACTTGGGACCGCTCCTATTTTTAGTTTTTATTCACGACATCAAATCATATTGTAACAAATCTGTATTCACTGATCATCAATCATCAGCGCTGTAGGTTATCCTGCAGCATTACGCGTTAAGTTACGAGTCATAAGTCATAACCTTTTCACTGGCTCGATACATGCACCATCACTTGTAGTCATAAACCGCCTTATGTGTAACCGTCTTTTTTCTGAATATGTAATGTGGGTAGTACCAGTGAATGAATGTCTTTTTTGTATAAGAGGGGAACACGAGCACCAGGGGAATTGCAGATGCATTGCAGCCCTTTTTTTGCCGGATTCTCCGCCAGAAGTAATATTATTGTCTTTTGACTACAGCTAACCCAGCCAGTAGATAGTCGAACGGACAAAATAACTTGAGGTTTTTATCGCCATCCGTATAAGAGGAGTAATTTTTTTCTGCTGAAGGCTACCCAGTTAGCCTTAAGCAGAAAAAGATTACTGCTACCTATCATAGTTGGTGCCAACCTCGAAAGAGAATGGATATTAATTTCACGTATGACATCAGGAGTGACATGTATCTAAAAGACGTTGGTTACAGTTATCTTTAAACTGTCTCTAAATCATCAAGACGAAAGAACAAATAGCTTGTGAACTCCAAAATTATTTTGGTAGCGCTTTGCTTCTGGGATCGTTGGAAAGAAGGGCATTGAAAATAAACCTCATTATAAAAATATTTTTTATTTTACAGTAAGACCATTAAATTACATAAAATTAAAAAAAAATATTTACAATTACTCGTAGTTAAAGCTATAAAAAGAAAATGGCGCGTTAAATAATATAAACTATACCTATTTTTATGGAAAGAAATAAGACCCATACTACAACCTCCGACCAAAAAAGAAAGAAAGACAGAGCGCTTTCAAGAAGGAAGAGAAGAATAGAGAGACATTTCAAGTAGGTAATGTAAAAACAAAGCCACGCGCATTTAAAATCATTTGCAACCAACAATATGGTTATAGGTGCATAAAGAAAGAAAGATATGGGTTATTCTGTTTATCCACCCTAAGAAATCCACCTTAGGATGGATACTCGGAATTCACTTTTTGATTGTTGTTTCGCCTTTCCAACCCAAGTACAGTTCAATTGAAAATATATTCATACTTAAATATTAATTTAATTTATTATTGATTAATTTTTAATAACCACAAACTTAAACAAAAATCATATCACATTTAAACCAAATTAAACTTCCTTGTTTTAAATAATAATAAGTAATTTATAAATTCTGCAATATGTCCAGGAAATGACTAATTTTAATTTCATTACTGAGTAGACGTAATTGTATATCATGTATAAGTTCGTCTCTGTACATTGTACATTTGCAATCGTTTTCTAAATTTCTTTGTTACGGCCAAAGACATTTAAGTAGTAGTAATAGACTGGACATCAGCAACAAAATGGTCACCTCTTACTTATTATGTTCTATAGAATATATTTCGGATTTGTGTCATTTAGTCTTAGATCTTAGTGACATCGTCAAAAGCTCAATACGCATTCGTTTCCTAAATTTAAAAAAAATATTTTTAAAGAAAATATGCCCGATTGTGCATTGTAAGTCCCGTCATATGTAGCAAGAGCTGAGTGTGATTTCGGTTTATTATCGCAAGTATAATGTATATTTACCCCATCATAGAGTAATAAGACTTAGAGAGATAGTGTCATTCAAAATTCCGTTCAAAGTTGAAGCAACAACATAATGAATAAAGAAAACTCATAATGCCATCAAAAACATAACTTGTAAAAAAGCAAAGTCTCGCAACTCAGTTCTTCTAACGTAAAAAGTTGTGAGATCCATGTAATACCAAGTCGGTTAATTTATTCAGTCCCTACTTAAGGGTCCTCTGTATTAAATTATTACGTAATTAGCTAACCTAACAACATCTTATAGTGATCACATCAATACTAAAAATCTTTTATATTTTAAATAAATAGATTGACTTGGCCATCGCATGAAAACGCAAAGTATCTCTCAAGTAATACATATTATATTAAATTAGATTGTTTAGTGCGATTGCCAAGTCAATTTATTTATTTAAAACATAAAAGATTTTTGATTGAATTCAAAAGGGGTAAAATTAATCTTAAAGATGGCCAAAGAGCCGGGACCCTGCAAACAGCAGTAACGGCAGAAACCTTACGGACTACTGAAATGTTGGTGAGAGAAGACACACGAATCACATATACGGACACCAAATAGATTGTTCGGGTGAGAAGACCAAAGACCGGGCTTCGGGGAATCACGATAACGCCTCTTCACATACCTCCCTTAGAACAAAAGCATTTATTGAGGAATCTGGTGTTGAAACTATAAGTCACCCACCCTAGAGCCCTGACTTAGCTCCTTGCGATTTCTTTTTGTTCTCAAGAGTCAAAGAAAAAATAAAAGGCATTTTTTTTCAAGCGCCGAAGATGCTGTGGCTGCCTACGAAGAAGCGATTTCCGACCTGTCAGATCAAGACTGGCAAAAGTGTTTTCAGAGTTGGTTTAGGCGAATATGCCGTGTAGTGGCGGTTAAGAATATCCACTACCCCATATCTTCCCGTGGGTGTCGTAAAAGGCGACAAAGGAAAACAGGCAGGAGATGGGCAGCAGCATCTTCCTGATAACAGCAAAAATTAGAATAAAAAAAACTGCGGTTGCCAACCCGCTCGCCAAGGGTGGCAACTATGGCAATATACCCCCCATGAGCAATGACAATAATAAACGGCCCCCAGTCCCCGGCGGCCCCGCTATTCCTGGCTACGGTGGCGATCATGGTAACGGCGGGGCAGCGGATGCTAAGAATCTCCGGTAGAGGTTCGGTTGCCACCTAAGATGACTCGACCTGGCAACATACAACGCACGCACCCTGAGGACTGACGAGAAGATCGTGGAGCTGGAAGAAGAGATAGACAAGTTACGCTGGGATATTATAGGATTATCCGAAGTCTGAAGAGAGGGGCAGGACACGGTAATCCTCGAATCCGGCAACTTGCTCTATCACCGGGAGGGCGACCATCTGTCCCAAGGAGGTGTCGGATTTGTCGTCCACAAGTCTCTCGTTAACAACGTTGTAAAAATTGAGAGTGTATCGACGAGGGTTGCGTACCTTATACTCAGAATCACCAAACGGTATTCGCTGAAGGTCATACAGGTTTACGCACCAACCTCGGCACACCCCGATGAGGAGGTGAAGGAAACGTATGAGGATATCTCTAGAGCCATGCATTCCTCCAAAACTCACTATACGGGGTTAATGGGAGACTTCAACGCAAAACTAGGCACAAGAGAGAACGGTGAGATGAAAGTAGGGAAATTCGGAATAGGGCAACGGAACCCAAAGGCCCAGCAGCTGGCCGACTTCATGGAGAAAGAGGGACTCTTTATGATGAACTCTTTCTTCCAGAAGCGGCCCCACAGGAAGTGGTCCTGGTCGAGCCCCGACGGTTCCACAAAAAAATGAGATTGACTTCATTATGACGACAACTGTTCAGTGATGTCTTCGTGAACGCGAGGGTGAAAACTGGTAGCGATCACCGAATGTTTAGAGGCACACTGAACCTAAACGTTAAGTTAGAGAGGTCAAGTCTAATGAAGTCAACGCTCCGTCCCACTCGTGCTCTGTTCCAAAGTCCCGAAACCTTTCAGCTCGAGTTACAAAACCGTTTTCAGTGCCTAGAAAACTGCAATGAAGTGGACGATATGAATGACAAGCTCGTTGAAACTGTCCATGCGGTCGGAGCAAGTTCTGCAAGACCCGCCGCAGACGAACACAAAAACTCTCCGATCACAGTCTTAATCTCACGGCTGTTAGACGGGAAATGAAGCTACATTCTTCAACAGATTTGACAGCATACAGGCAACTGAACAGACTAATCTCCAAATGCATGCGGCGGGACTTACGCAACTTCAATACAGCTTGTATTGAAGAAGCGATCGAGCGGAACCAAGGTTCCAAAGTCTTTGCCAGAGATCTGTCTGCCAGAAAGAGCCAACTGTCAAAGCTGAAGACTGAATGTGGTAGCATCGTTTCCGGGGCACCTGAGATTTTGAGTGAGATTGAGAGGTTCTATGGGCAGCTGTACACGTCATCGTTGGAGCCACACGCAAGTGTGAGTAACGATCCAAGAGCGAGTCTTATCCGACACTATTCCGAAGATATCCCGGACGTTAGTCTGAGCGAGATTAGAATGGCTCTCCAGCACCTTAAAAACGGTAAGGCCCCAGGCGAGGATGGAATTATGTATTTCATGCCGGCACACCGCCTGCTACTTTACAAGGCGCAAGTTCGGCCTCACATGGAATACTGTTCCCATCTCTGGGCAGGGGCTCCCCAGTGCCAGCTCCTTCCACTTGACCGCATCCAACGCAGAGCGGCTCGAATTGTCGACGACCGAGCCCTTTCCGATCGGCTCGATTCATTGGCACTGCGAAGAGATGTTGCATCCCTTTGCATTTTCTTTCGCATCTACCATGGGGAGTGCTCTGAGGAATTGTTCGGATTAATCCCAGCCGCCTAATTTCACGAACGCACATCGCGGCAGAACTCCCGATATCATCCACACCATCTGGATGATTGGCGGTCCACCACTGTGCGATTTAGAAGATGTTTTCTTCCTCGCACGACCTCCTTGTAGAATCGATTACCATCAGCGATTTTTCCGGACCGATACGACTTAGGGACCTTCAAGAAAAGAGCGTACTCCTTTTTAAAAGGCCGGCAACGCATCTGCGATTCCCCTGGTGTTGCAGTTGTTCATGGGCGGCGGTAGTCACTTACCATCAGGTGAGCCGCATGCTCGTTTGCCCCCTCTCCTATAAAAAAAAAATTACAGCGGGGCTCCTGAAAGCGGGTGGAAGTCCTTCAGAAGCACTTTAATTGCGTCCTCCATGGTGGCGTTACACCGGAGGCGTAGAGCAGAAGTGCGGTGGTCTTGTTCTTCAAGAAAGGTGACAACGCTCTCTTGAAGAACTACAGACCGATTTCCCTTCTGAGCCGCGTCTACGTGCTGTTTTCGAGAGTCATTACAAATCGTCTCGCGCGCAGAATTGACGACTTCCAGCCTCCCGAACAAGCCGGTTTCCGAAAGGGCTTTAGCACCATAGACCACATACATACCCTTCGGCAAATTGTACAGAAGTCCGAAGAGTACAATTTGCCACTATGCCTGGCGTATGTGGACTATGAGAAAGCCTTTGATTCCGTTGAAATTTGGGCGGTGCTGCAGTCCCTTCAGCGGTGCCAAGTTGACTGTCGGTATATCGAAGTGCTGAAGTGTTTGTACAGTAGAGCTACGATGGCTATCCGAGTACAGAACCAGAGTACGAAACCTATCCAATTGCAGAGAGGTGTAAGACAGGGTGATGTTATACCCCCGAAACTCTTCATCGCTGCATTGGAAGACGTTTTCAAGCATCTGGGCTGAAAAGGATACGGTGTTAACATCAATGGCGAGTATATCACTCACCTTCGATTTGCCGACGATATAGTCCTTATGGCAGAATCGCTGGAGGACCTAAGCACCATGCTCAATGACCTCAATAGTGTCTCCCAACGAATAGGTCTTAGGATGAACATGGACAAAACAAAGATCATGTTTGATGTCCATGTTACACCTATGCCGGCAGTTGTTGGGAGCACTAAGCTCGAAGTTGTTGACGAGTATATGTTTACCTGGGACAAATAGTCCGACTAGGTAAGTCCAACTTCGACCGAGAGGTCAATCGACGGATTCAACTCGGCTGGGCAGCGTTCGGGAAACTACGACACATCTTCTCGTCAGACATACCTGAAAATCTTAAAACGAAATTGTACAACCAGTGCGTGTTGCCAGTGATGACTTACGGATCTGAGACGTGGTCCTTCACTGCTGGCCATATGAGGAAGCTCAAGGTCGCTCAGCGAGCTATGGAGAGGGCTATGCTCGGGGTTTCTCTGCGTGATAAACTTAGAAATGAGTATATCCGCACTAGAACCAGAGTAACCGACATAGCCCAACGGATTAGTAAGCTGAAGTGGCAGTGGGCCGGCCATATAGCTCGAAGAGCCGACAACCGATGGGGAAGAAAGGTTCTTGAGTTGCAGCCTCGTACCGGTAAACGAAGTGTAGGGCGCCCCCCACGAGATGGAGTGACGACTTGGTAAGACATGCAGGAAGTCGATGGATGCAGGTGGCTCAGGACCGTGCTTTGTGGCATTCCTTGGGGGAGGCCTATGTTCAGCAGTGGACTTATGAATGGCTGTAATGATGATAATGATGATTAGGCGAATGGAACTTTGTATAGAGAATGATGGAGAATATTTTGAAAAGATGTAAAATTAATATCAACAGTATTTAGAATACTTTTTGTATATCTTATTGAGTGCCCCACGTATGGGCGTGAGTTAGTGTTGCCAGGTGTCCCGATTGTGCGGGACGTCCCGATTTTCAGCGATTTGGTGACACGTTCCGATTCACCATTCATTATCGAGACGCCAAATGTCCTGATTTTACTTTAATCGATAATTTTGACAACAAAAATAATTAGGTACATTTGTAAGATGCTACTACATTAAAATATTTCTGCTTTGATAATTTTTATCAACAAGCTCGATCTCTGATCAACGTAAAAGTTATAAACTTCACGTATATATATATATATTGGCGAAGAAATGGGTTACAAGGAAACCCTTTTTTGTAGCTATTAGCTATTTGTAGCTGTCCCAATTTAAAAACCAAATTGTCGATTATTTTTACCTTCCGTCCCGGAATTTGACACAATAAACCTGTTTCGTTACTTGAATGCAACGCTCCGTCTTTTTTCCTTGTTGGTCTGAGTGTGGTATTAAAAGAAACGCATTTACTCAATGCACTTAATCAATCAACTAAACGTAATTAAAAATGATGGTACAAATAACATTAAAATGGCGACGCTGTCAAATTTTTCCCGGGTTCCTGCATCTGACATTGGCAGCTCGTTAAGGCGTTCGAAAACGTACGCCTGTGTGATGTTTTGTGGCTGATCAGATTCGGGCTCCTCTAATGTTGGAGTGAAGTCTGTGTAATCTGACGATGTCGACGGTAGAGTTCGGCCCGCTGGAAATGAAAGTGTTTCGTATGATTATTAAGTATATAAATATTTAAGAATTAACAGATAATAGATACAAACAGTATCAAGAAGTACCATTATAAGGAGCACTTTCACTACTATAATAAATAAATCGACATAATATATTTCAGATGATAGACTTAAAAACAAGGATATCCGCAATAGAAGCAGAGTACTCCGACTAACCCAACAGATTAGTAAGCTGAAGTACATAATAAATAATAGGCTGAAGTAACAATTGCCGGCCATTGGTGGTGGGGCCGCGTATGAATAGAATAGAATAAAATATTTTTTATTCAATATACATTACATGTGTAATTCTTATTGAAAGTCATTTTTTACTTTACCACTGGTTCGACAAAAAACCCTCTGTCCTGGGAAGAACCCGCAAGAAACCCAGCGGGACTTTTTTTTAAATAAATTTTGCAATATAAATGATTACAAACTATTTACAAAATTTATTTTAGAAACTGCTTGGAAGCGACCACCTCATTCCCAGGGGTTATTATCAACCATGTATTCATTTATACTGTAATAACCCTTTTTAAACAGTTTCAGCTTAATAAAACATTTAAACTTGGTAATAGAGAGAACCTGTACACTTTCCGGGACCTTGTTGTAATAGCGTATACATTGCCCCAAGAATGAATTACTGACTCTGTGGAGTCGAGAAATTGGCATCACTAGCTTGTGTTTGTTCCTAGTGTTTACAGAATGTATATCACTTTTTTTACTAAAACTATCTTCGTTTTTGTGAACATTCATTAAATTTTCATAAATATACTGAGAGGCCAAAGTTAATATATTAATTTCTTTAAATTTATCTCTAAGAGACTCTCTCGGTTTTAGATTGTAAATAGCTCTAATGGCCCTTTATGTGAGCGAATAGCGTTTCCGTGGTTCTACCAATACGCGACTAAGGTGGAACACCAGATGTTTTAGTCGGTGCGAGTCCGACATAGCCCGGCCTAGCCCCCGCGATGCGGGTATGCGTAGGCATTTCCCCATGTTAAAAAAGGACCGATTCGATATCTCAAAGAACTGAAAACTGATAGGGAAGAAAGGTTTTCGAGTGGCAACCTCGTACCGGTAAGTGTAGGGCGCCCCCTATTAGATGGAGTGGTTTAAGACCTTGCTTTGTGGCATTTCTCAGGGTAGGCCTATGTTTAGGAGTGGTCTTGTGAAGAACTGTAATGAATTAATTAATAAAAATACATTTCAGGTATGCCATGAAATAGCGACATTTAGGAGTACACTACTCTACAACTCGGCCAAAACAATTAGGCGCATGACAGGAGTGCAGTTTCGGCGCACGCACCCCGCCTCAATCCCCGCGCTTCTTCTAGTGACCAATCACCGTTCCGCTGTTCCCTCCCTAGTTATAATGACATCTTAGCTGTCATGCGCCTTATTGTTTTGGTCACTTAATACACATTTCGCGTAATTGTCGTAAAGGTAACAACGCTCAGAAACTGAAACAAGCTTCGTCCAGATAGAAACTCCGCCAACCCGCCTGCCATGCCTGCCAAGTATGGCAAAATAGAAGATAATCTACCAGGAGCACATGACCCACTGAGAGGTGATATTTTCATATCAACAGTAACATTACAACTATGGCAAATACCCCCACTATGAGGCAATCTATGGGGGAGGCCTATGTTCAGCAGTGAACTTTAATAGGCTGTAATGGATGGATGTATAGCAGATAATCTACCAGGAGCACATGACCCATTGAGAGTTGATATTTTCATATCAACAGTAACATTACAACTATGGCAAATACCCCCTCAATAAGGCAATCTATGGGGGAGGCCTATGTTCAGCAGTGGACTTTAATAGGCTGTAATGGATGGATGGATGGAACCTTTAAAAGAAGGACACAATTCATTCCAAATTTCTGCTGAATTCCTGATTCTTTGAGTTCCACTTGACCCGTTGTCAAATTAAATATTAATAATATATATTTATTGTATACCTCCAGGTTCTGTGGCAAAGTGTAAAACTGCTGACGGCTTACTCCATCCAAATCTGTAAACAAAAAGTTTTTTTATTTTGTTTTATGGTCGATTTGAGATTTTAAAAAATTCCATTTGAAAAAAATACAAAAATTCTATCAGAGCGGAATAAGGACAGTGTATTATAAATAAAACTAACTCAAACCCTTGACAGTCAAAAAATTTAAGGCTTCTAATTCGGAATCAGAATATGTGCTAGCCCATATCATCCCGCTGGTGTCGTAAGGAGCGATAGATGGAAACTAAAACAAAAGATAACAACCGGAAATGATAAATCAGCCTACCAAGCGTGCAACTATGGCCATACTACTGCGAGTAGCATCTAGTTTAGAAATAAATTAAAAAGTACAATTTTCTTTTAACGTTAACGATTGTAGAAAGTCAACTTGAATAACACCATAGATGTTTCACAGAAAAATCATCCCGGGTCAATCCAAAATCAGTTATCGGATTTTTAGTGAAAAATATCTCGGTAGCAATTCGCAGTCAGGAAGTTGACGGTATTTCATCCCTGAGCCTCGGAAAGCCTGTATAACCGTTGTTCCTTCACCTAATCTCTCTCCAGTCGTGTCCGATTGCCGTCCTATCGGACTATATACGTACAGAAAGGATCTTGGGCAAACTACGTGTCCAAGATCCTGTCTGTACGTGTTTTATACATGCTAGAGCCATGCTGCAGCTATATTAGTAGTATAGTTATAGCACGAATGGGTCGGCTCGACCGGGGAAGGACCACGCTCTCACAGAATACCAGCGTAAAATAGCAGCTTAACGCTGCTGTGTTTGGTATGGTGAGTGTAGAGAACCACAGACCCTTTTTACTGGAAAAGAGGCATTCCATCTTATTCCTCACGGCTGACAACGCATCTGCATTTTGATTCGCAAACGAGGATAGATGTAGCTGTGTGCTCGTTTGTCACCCTATCCTATAAAAAAAAAACATATGATCCGGTTCGAAGGACCATATGTTTACCCAAGATCCTGTTCACCCAAGACGCGGCAGGAGCTCTTGGCTGATGTATATAATGTATTAATGTAGTCGAATTCCAAACATGAAAATCTTTACTTTAATAATTGCTGTAATAATTGCATAATAATTCAAGAACTTATGGATGGAACAAAATTTCTATATTGATAGATAATTGCAAAGTAGTGTGTAACGTTAAACTATGAAATTGTATGTTGAAGTCTAGAACCAATATGTTCGATTGGTCGTACGTTCAAAATTCAAATTTTAGATAGGCCCGGGCTATTTGTCACACTGTTGCGTTTCGATTCACGGTAGAACGCAACACTCGTGCATTATAATCCTGTCCTGCACAGACGGCTAGTCTCCGTTGAGATTGACCACCGCGACCACACATAATCGCCAATTAATTATATTTAAGCGTTTCAATATATTGTTTTTTTTTATAAAGCTGAAGTGATAAAAAATCTTGCAGTTCACCTGATGGTAAGTGTCCACTGCAGCCAACTACAAACAAATAGATGGCATCTCTGAGGACTTTGATGGAATGGCTCAGAGCTTGTACTTAATTATACGGACTCTCTAGTCGGGTATAGACCGGACGGACAACACAGCAGTTATCAACTTATGACGTATTAGAGCCACAAATTATGGTTATTGCACGAATGGGTCGACTAGATCAGGGTAAGACCACACCCTCACAGAATACCAGTATAAAATAGCAGCTTAATGCTGCTGTATTTCGTATGATGAGTGTAGAGAACCGGAGACCATTTTTAGTGGAAACGAGACAATACATCTTAGTTCACAAGCGTGACAACGCATCTGCATTTTGATTCTTAAATCGAGGATAAATGTAGATGTCTATGAGCCACAGCATCCACTTACCATCAGGTGGTCTGTGTGCTCGTTTGTCATCATCATTCTAATAAAGAACAAGGGGTTTTTTAAATTTTTATTCTATTATAATTTAAGGGACATTTACCGCTTAGCGTATGTCAGTCCTATCATACCCTAACGTACATGAATTACTCATATAACGTTAGTTAATACTACATGGCCCATGGATTCGAACAGAACTTTCGCATCGTCGCCATTTGGTTGAGATAGAATATTATGGAATGTGCCTATGTCAGTTCTGTTCAAATTCAAGGCCCTTATGAAATTACTTCTAATAGACTCAAATCGAACACATTCCATCAATATATGGTATAGGTCTTCTATAACTCCACAGTCTTCACAATTGTGCGAAGTTGTTTTTCTCATTAGAAATACAAATTTCTTACATGGAACGTGTCCAGATCTGAGTCTATGAGCAGTAGTAACTAAGAACAAGGGGTTAGCCAAACACACTTCCTACAATCGTAGTTAACAAAAGTTTTCAAGAGTAGATTGTAAAAAAGCTAGCAGTGCTTCAATCGACGCGCAACGCCATGACACTACCTATAAACTTGTGTTGTAATTACGTTTTTGCTTCAGGTATGTATGCGCACTTACCTATTTCTTGAGGTGACGATAGCTTCATACACCGTTGAAGGGGTGAGTCCCCTTACAGTGTAACTTGCACTGTGGATGGGTCCTGAAGAGTACAATTTTTTTTAAACTAATTAAAAGACTTCGTCTTTTGTCAAAAAAATATACTATACAAATTAATATCACATAATCACAAACAAACCGTGGCACAGGGGCTGAGCGCTCGCTGTAAATTTCACAGTACGCGAGCAACCCGAGTTCGTGGCAACGCATATGAATTTTAACTGTTATTAGAGTATATGAATTTTAACGATTATTGAATATAACTCTTGTAGGTGTTTACGAGGAACAGCATCCACTTACCATCAGGTGGACTGTGTGCTCGCTTGTCACTCTTCCTATAAAAAAAAAAAGTTGGATATAAGACTTATTCAACAATGAACTAACAAAAACTTAATAATTTTTACGTAGCAGAGCATGTGTGCTTGCTGTGAGAGCGTGTGCGCCAACGCTCTAACAGATTACCAGCCTGAAACAGCAGAATAATACTGCTGTGTTTCGTATGGTGAGTGAAGAGAACCCGAGGCCCTTTATACTGGTAACGAGGCAATCCATCTTAATCGTCAGGGATGACAACGCATCTGCATTTTAATTCTTAATCCAAAATATATGTCTATGATCCTAAGGAACCATTATAACATGGGCCTAATTTTATAAAAAATACGAGTATTATGATAATACAATACGACTAACACCGTTATGCACAGATTCTTACCATTTGTTTTTAAATTTCTTATCCTAAATATTTTAACATCAAGATTACGTAGTAAAGAAATAAAAAAATATTTAAGTAATATACCATATAAAATCTATATCTTTCTACGAGATAAAAATAAATTTTTGTTTGTTCGTATTTTATGCGCTGCCATACCGTCAGAATTTCGGTAAAACTTAGTCAACATATTGCTTGCACTTCCGCGAAGGTTATAGGCATAGTTGGACCCGGTAGGTGGCGCTGTTGTAGAATATAGATATTATCCGTGCGAAGCCGAGGCAGATTGCTAGTGTAATATATAATCCAATATGTATCTATATTAGATGTATTAAATAACCTCTGGGAATGAGGGTGATCGCCACCAAGCTATTTCTAATGTTATGATTTGTATAGTTAGTTGTAGAACATAAATACACATGATTTTATACTGTTCTTTTTAAAAAAATGTCCCGCTGGGCTTGGAGGCAAAATTATGGAAAATAAAATCTGGTCATCTTATCTTTTGAAATGATGTAAATAAAAATATAGTAAGTTATGAAAATAGGGATAACTTGCGCACATGCACTTTTAAGAGGGTTGTTATTTTGGCTTGGATGCTTGTCCTTTGAGCCATGTCTTTATTTATCTCAGTGTCAAGTGATAATAATCCTTTATTCTGCTTCACAATATGTTGAAGCGTCACATTCAGCAACACAGAGAGAGAGAGAGAGAGAGAGAGAGAGAGATACTATCTCTGTGTTTAGACGCTTTGCGATACTATCGGTGTCAATAGACTATAGATTATCTTGAAATTCATATCAGTATCGGAGCACTTGTTTCACCGTATGGACTGATAGTTCACATGCGCAGACATTTAATACACAAAATCGCACCATTTTTACATATCAAAATCCAATTCAAACCCTAATTTAAACAATAAAGAGCAGCAGGTAGAGCCATGCTACAGCTATATTAGTAGTATAGTTGCAGCACGAATGGGTCGGCTCGACCGGGGAAGGGCCACGCTCTCACTCATATCAGCGTAAAATAGCAGCTTAATGCTGCTGTGTTTCGTATGGTGTGTGTAGAGAACCGGAGACCCTTTTTACTGGAAAAGATACATTCCATCTTAGTCCTCACGGGTGACAACACATCTGCATTTTGATTCTTTATTGAGGATAGATATGGATGTCTATGAGTAAGCAACCACTTACGAGCATTTTTATATGATTGGGTGACAAACGAGCACACACTCCACACATCAGGTGGAGCACACACGCTCCTTTGTCACCCAATCATATAAAAAAAAAACAATCCGCCACCGGTCAATTTCCCGCCAAAACTCCTATTGTTCTATTCGTTTTCAAAGAATATAGACTCTACAAACATTGAAACAGGAGTGACTTTTAGAGCTATTCGACGAGGTATCTCTAATTCAATTTATAAATATTGATAAATCAATATGCGTTTTGCAATAAATATTAAACAGTTTACAGAAAAAAAAATTACGCACGTACGCACACATAAACAATATCTGTATACAATATGCATAATATCTTTACTACCACATAATGATTGTAATTAACCGTGGGTTGGAAAACTGATGATTCATCATAAAAGATAAAGGCTTATAGCTTGGTTAATATTTGAATGTTAAGAAATTAATCTTCTCTATATATAATTATCAATTGCTGTCAGTTAGTCCGTTTTTTGTGTGTTGGAGTGAGTCCCTAGATGGTTTAGATTCACAGTTATACCCGGTAGGTGGCGCTGTTGTCGAGATCCAACACCCGCGCGAAACCGTGGCGAATCACTAGTAAATTAGTAAAAATAAACAAATAAATAGCAATTAATACAACACTTACGGAAATGAGGGGGCCAGTAAATTTTCGACTCTAGCGGCTCGAGTAACAAAAATCCCTGCTACGTCGATGCTAATGTACAAGATGATAAAGCTACTTCAATTTTCTCACCATCACTTGAGTCTCCGGGCACGACGATCTTGCTCCATGAATTCTCCTGCGGGACCGTTGTCAGCGCATCGGGTTCCGCAGAGACGAGTCTACCGTAGTACGGACGGATCCAAAGATTATATTCTAAATCAAAAAGTTCAATGATCAATTTTCAAAATTAGGTTTGTAACACAGCCGAACACAAAAATTAAAATTAATTGTTGTTTTATTTTACAGAATAAGAGTTACAAACGAGCACACAGTCTACCTGATGGTAAGCAAACACTGTGGCCCATAGCCATCTATATTTATTCATTACAATTTAAAATGAAGATGCGTTGTCAACCTTAAGGACTAATATGAAATACCCCTTTCCAGTAAAAAGGTTCCCCGGTTCTCTACATTTTATGTTATTATATATTTTTAAATATTTATTGAAATATATAAAAATATAATTAATTTACTTTATAAAATTAATTAAAGTACTGAAAAATAGTTACTATTCAATACGTAGGAGTAGGTAAATTAAGTAGTGTCCGACCGGAACAGGATTTTCAACCAAAAACCGAAAACGAACCTTCGGTCTAGATGTCAGTTTCGGCCGAAACCGAAACTTATTTCGACATGTAATTTTTTTTTACTGTATATTGAAATTTGGTATATTTTTATAAATATACATATGGGTAATACATGTTAATGAAATACAGTAATTTTAATAGTCATGTAGCAATATATTTAATATTTTAAAGTAAAAATCAACAATTTAACGTTAAGAAATACTTTTTAAGTCAATTTTGTAAAAAAATCAACACTTACACCCACTCGCTAATTAATAATAATAATAATAATAATAATAATAACTGAAGAACAGAAAGGATGTCGGCGCGGCCACATGGGGTGCAAAGAGCAACTGATAATTGATTCAGTTATTCACAAACATGCAGCTACCAAGAAACGAAATCTACATTGTACTTTTATAGATTATCAAAAGGCGTTCGATAGCATACCTCACTCCTGGTTAATTGAAGTACTTAAAATTTATAAAATTAATAACAGTCTAATTGAATTCCTTAAATTCATAATGCCACGTTGGAAAACTACCCTTTATCTTAATAGTCATCCTAACACTATAATTACCAGAGAAATATCGATAAAAAAAGGCATCTATCAAGGTGACTCTTTGAGCCCTTTATGGTTTTGTCTTGCTCTTAACCCTCTGTCTCATATCCTAAACATTCAGGGCACAGGATATCACCTTAAACATGGTAACACCGATACATCAATAACTCACTTAATATACATGGACGACATTAAACTATATACAAAAACCTACAAAGAAATGGACAAACTAATAAATGTTACTGCTGAATTTAGCCGAGATATCAATATGAAATTTGGATTAGACAAATGTAGGACCCTCCATATAATAAAGGGTAAGATACATACAGGAGATTACGCAATAGATGACAATGAAAATCAGATAATAACAGCCATGGAACCGAATGACGTTTATAAGTATCTGGGATTTCACCAGCTCAAAAGCTTAGATCACAGAACAATAAAAGAAAACCTCATTAATGAATATAAAAGAAGATTAACTAACATCTGCAAAACTAAACTGTCTGGAAAACACCTAATAAAAGCTGTGAATACTTACGCCATACCAGTACTTACCTACTCATTCGGTATAGTAAAGTGGAGCAAAACCAATATTTATTCTATAGAGAGAACCACACGATCAATATTAACAAAACACAACTACCACCACCCAAAATCGGCTATAGAAAGGTTAACAATAAAGAGATACAACGGAGGCAGAGGACTCATAAATATACAAAACCTATGGCAAAAACAAGTACACGGATTGCAAAATTTCTTTTATCAAAAATCTCATACGAGTGAAATACACAAAGCAGTCCAATGTAATGACCTCAATTATACACCACTAAACTTACATCAAACTACTTTACAAAGACCCCATAATTTAGTTACAAACCCAGAGCAAATTTTAAAAGAAGCATGGAAACAAAAAGTACTGCACGGCCGACACTATCATGACCTGGAACAACCCTTAATTGATAAAGCTGCGTCAAATCAATGGTTAAAAATAGGTTCTTTATTCCCCGAAACTGAAGGTTTTATTATCGCAATTCAAGACCAAGTTATAAATACTCGAAATTACAGGAAATATATCATTAAAGACCCCACTGTATTAGATGATAAGTGTCGAAAGTGCCACATACATTCTGAAACCATTCAGCATATAACTGGAGCATGCCCCCATCTCGCCCAAACCGATTACACTCATAGACATAACCAGGTAGCTAATATCATACATCAAACTCTTGCTATTCAACATAACCTCATACAAGACACTATTACACCTTATTATAAATATATCCCAAGCACCGTTCTAGAAAATACAACACATAAGTTATACTACGACCGCGCCATTCTAACTGACAAAACAATACATTATAATAGACCAGACATTACACTACAAGATAAACATAATAAAATCACATACCTCATTGATATAGCTATACCTAACACACATAATATTACAAAGACAATTACAGAAAAAATCCACAAATATACAGATCTCCAAGACGAAATTAGCAGAATTTGGAAACAAGAAAAAGCATACATAGTACCGATTGTGTTATCAACCACAGGAGTTATCCCAAAACATCTTCACCACAGCCTGAAACTATTAAATATAAAAGAGAATAAATACATACAATTACAGAAAGCCGCCATATTAAATACGTGCCGCATTGTGAGAAAATTTTTACAAATAGATGAAAACGAAGTTGCGCCCAATATCCCAGAACACACTACTTAATAAAACGCCCATATGCTTTTTACTTGGTGAACACCCGTAATTAGCATTAATAACGGCCGCAAGGCTAGAAAAAATAAAGATATAAAAATAATAATAATAATTTATTAAAATAAAAGTACAATAATAAAGTGAAGACTCTGATCCCTAAACTAGACAAGTCTGTATCTTAGGGATCAGCGGCCTATCCCAGTGTTGTGACAACAGTATTTTAATATTAACAATTAATTAAGTAACTAAGCTTAACATTTTTCAGTAACTGTTCAGCTATTTGAATGTATTTATTTACAACGAAACATATTTTATTGTGAAAATATTTTATTGTATTCACAATATTGTTATAATATTCAATGAGAGCATTAACTTAATATATCACACTTACACACAATATACACAAAACTTAACAAAATTCCAGAAAATATAAAAAACCTGCTCAAAGTTCAAAAACTTTAATAAACTAAGTTTGTATAAAAAGGGTTATTATAATATTAAGGAATTTATGATTGATAATAAATAGCCCCTGGGAATGAGGTGATCATTACCAAGTTATTTTTAATTTGTTTTGTGTTGTTAATTGTGTTACATATATGATTGTAAGCAGTGGCGTAGCTAGGCGTAGGCGAAGTGGGCCCTCGCCCACGACCTCGCACTTAAAGGGGCCTCGCGATGCCCCCAATAATGCGATGCCCCCGGACTTTACCACAGATGACTAATTAATTTGATCACTTCTACGCTCGAAAAAGAAAGTCACAAATTTAAGTATGTTTGTTTGCGGCCTCGCAAGAAGGGGCTTCTTCTTAAGTGCGACTGCGAGGCCGTTATAACTACCTACAAAGATCGCGACTGTTACATTGACGGAATACGAGACTTGTCAGGAATTAATAGATATGAGCAGGTATGTCGTGTCAAATCATGTTTGGTAGGATAAATCTGTTGGGTAGATCCTTGAAAAGAAAGAAAAAGGGCCTCGCTTATGCAACCTCGCTTTCGTTTATTCGTGGACTAACCACGCTACGCCTCTGATTTTAAGCTGTTATTTAAAAAAAGTCCCACTGGGTTCCTTGCTGGTTCTTCTAAGGACAGAAGATTTTTTTCGAACCAGTGGTAATTACACAAAAGAGTGACTTTCAAAAAGTATTATTTATAATCTATATTGAAAAAGCTTTTAGAAAAATTTTACTTCGCAAATATCCGCGTTATAAAATAAAATGATGTTCTTACCTAGTATGAAGAGCACCTCCCGCCCTCCCTCAATTGAGTGCACCATCCCCGTCACCACTAATCCCAGCACCGCTACTCCCAACACCACTACACTAGGCAAGACACACCACTGACGATAATACGACACGTGTTTCGCCTCTACACGAGGCATCCTCAGGTGATATAGACTCTACGGTGGTTAGCCACCTAAAATTTTTAAATTTTTCTAAAAGCTTTTTTATATAATGGATTTCCGCAAAGTAACGCCTGATTCTATTAATTGAATCTATATTGAATAAAAAGTTTCTGTTTCTGTATAATTATGAATAATACACGAGTCACGGACTCATCCGCACGACGCACGATAATCTACGAACACTGAGTTTCGGCGCAGCCGAAGGTTCGGCAGATTTTTTGCCGAAACCGAAACTATTATCGAAACTAAATTTTTTTGCCGAAACTTGCCGAAACCGAAACCAAAACCGAATCTTCGGTCGGTCACTAAAATTAAGTAATGTGATTTTCATCAGCTGTGAAAAATGTGGTACTTGAAGACGGAAAACGGATTGCATCGAATTAAATAAATAAAAATTTAGTATTTTCCTATTCTATACCAATATAAATATCAAAAAAAAATAAGACTTAACATTTTAGCACTTCTACCAAGTTAAATACAATTTGCATATTAAACGATTCAAAAACTGAACCGGAAAATTATCAAGTGCCGTCACAGAGTATAATTTGTTCTTGGTTGTCCAAAGTTACGTGAGTTGACTATCAAATCGTTGTAATTGTGTGACACGAACTTTATATCTCGATCTCAACAAAAGTTACCGCGACAATTAAGCTAGCTTCTGCTATTATAAATGTCAATCTTAATAAATGGTAAGCATAACAAGAAAATGTCTTACTAATCCAAGCATGGTGTCATAATGAGTACTCGTATTTGTTGTAAGAAGTGAAATCAATTCGCTTGTATACTGTCAGAGCGTGATTCTTCCCATTCGTGCTACAACCATAATATAGCTTCACCATGGTTCTACCACTTTGTAGTTTTTTTTTGTTTTTAAGTTTTGTTTTGCTGTATTTATACCCAACAATCCAACCAGACCTAAATGTCTTTTGTCTGACTCTGAATCCAGCAAGCACCTCTCCAAGTTTCGACTCAATTTGTTGATTGTTAAGTCACCAAACAATTCCCTCTTTACTAAATGACAATAGAAAGAGATAAATATAGACAGATACGTATACTTAGAGTTAATTATTAGATACTTAATTTACTTAAGATCAGCGGTTTTAAGAAATAAGATCGCGTGGAAGTATGGACATGCCGGACGCACACGCATTCCAGCTTGGTGGATACAGTTCTGAGTGAAGAATTTTCTTGATTTTATTTTTCTCTCTCTATATGAATTTATTCTGGTTTCACCGCACATGCTGAGTGATGTTCTTTTTTGGACATGCCTTTGACGTACAAAGTCAAATTTATTTAAATGTACCTGTATGTGCCTTTGCAATGACCGGACTTTCGCTTTATATAAAGTAAGAAGCTGTCCCGGCGTAAAGTATTGCTGCATCTTTGCAGGGACTCCTAGCTTCCTTGCAGCTGCGTTGGCCTTGAACTCAATAAACCGCCCGAAGTTCATATTTGAGAACATCTCGACCCCCAAGAACTGAAGGCGGTCGGTGTATTCCAGTGATACATTTCGGAAAGAAGGAGCCAAGGTGAGCTGGCTTCTTTTTGCAGTGAAAAGACTCGCTTGTGTTTGGGAGGCGTATTGTAGTTAAAAATTTGTAAATTTTTGTGTGCGTCCATTGTAAAACTTAAGTACCCGTAAACAAAAGTTTAGTTCAATACCTTACCTTTACCTTACCGACTTGAAAATGCTTAAAATTTTATAATTTAGGTGCAATAAAAGTAAATTACCTATAATGGTGGAGTAGGAATCCACTTCCCAAATGAGAGTGAAGCTTGTGGCTGTCGCTTTATTTAGAGCGTGGTCAACTTTGAAGGATGCTACGTTTGGTATACCTGTAAACTAAATATGTTTTAAATATCCATTTTATGATTTGTAGGGCTGAAATCGCTATACCAGGAAACATGGTCTTTAAGCGCCTTTTGCCGCTTTTCGTCAAATATTTCATCTAATAGGGTGCATAAATCGTTGAAGTATTTTTTCTATTTCTATTTTATTTATAAAATTCTTGTTTGGTGTTTGTTACCAAACTCGTCCGAAACGGCTGAACCGATTTGTAGGAAATTTTGTGTACATATCGGGTAGGTCTGAGAATCGACCAACGTCTATTTTTCAAACCCCTAAATGATAAGGGTGACCCACCCCTAAATATGTTTTTTATTTTTTGCCAAAATTTGTTTTAATTATGATTTAGCATTGAAAAATACATAAAACTTCAAATTTTCACCCTTCTACGATCAACCCCTGTTTTTTAATCGCGGTTTTTAAAACTAAAAAAATATTTACTAGAAATAATGTATATGGCAAAACAACGTCTGCCGGTTCAGCTAGTAGCTTTATAAAAACGAATAATGTACTACATAGTGGCCCGCGAAATTCAAATTTTCTTACGTTTTTTGCAATTTGCAGGTCATTGTCAGGTTGTATGTTTTTGATTCGCGAGCGTAACAAGTATGTATTTACAGAATTATAATCATTGTAATCATTAATACAACCCCCTAAGTTCGTATAATTCCTTTGAATGAGTTTTCTGGAAATAGCCATACATTGGAATTATACGAACATAGACGGTTGTATTGATGATTATAATGATTATAATTCTGTAAATACATACTCGTTACGCTCGCGAATCATATTTTGTTAAACATACAACCTGACACTGACCTGCAAATTGCAAAAAACGTAAGAAAATTTGAATTTCGCGGGCCACCCTGGGGCTTCCACCTTAAGGAATTTCAAATAAGGAATTTTTAATGTCATTTTATTTCACCATGCTCTGCTGAGAGTTAGATGGTTTTTTAGTTTCATGGTTGCATTGTTTAAAATGTTTTTAGCAGTTTTATCTCTTATATTTATATTAAATTAAGTCCACGATGGTAATAGGATAGGCAGGGCTGGGTATACCCATTGGATACCCTGGGCGAGTGATTCCTTTGGCGCCATTTTGTATCTAATAATATTATATACGTGAAAGTTTGTAAGGTGTGTTAGGATGTATGGATAGATGTATGCTACTCTTCCACCCAAACACGAATGAACGTATTTTGATGAAACTTTACAGTAATATAGCTTATACATTAGAATAAGACATAGGCTATTATTGAAGTTAAGCTGGCGCCTGTAGCGCTCTGTAAGCCTCGGCGCCCTGGACGGCCGCCCGTGTTGATCCCACCCACCCTAAAGTCATCTCTGAAGATAGGAATCATTAGTATGATTCTTCTTCTAAAATCCTGAGCTGCGATAGCAGAGGAGCTTAGCGTTCGCCGTAAATATTATGCAAGAAAGTAAGTGACCCGAGTTCGATCCTCGCCGGCACTATCACTATCACGATGTGTTCGGCGAAAACATCGTGATAAAACCTGCATGTGTCAAGAAAATAAATAATTTGAAGAGACGTGAAGTCCATCAACATGAACATTTCCTTATTCTAAAACCCTCTCAGAAATTAGAGAATACTTGGACTAATTTCTGAGAGGGCGCATATACATATACATAGTAATGATATGTATATGTATATATGCGTTTCGTTGCGTCCCGTTGGGTTTCTTGCTGGTTCTTCCCAGGACTGGGTAGTAATTATTATTTTTAATCTATGTTGATTGTTGAATAAAAAAGTTTCTATTTCTATAGCCTGTAACTTTACTTTAATTTTCTTCTTCTTGGGCCAAGTTATTTTATTAAGTTTTATTACGTGGTAGAGCCATGCTACAGCTATATTAGTAGTATAGTTGTAGCACGAATGGGTAGACTCGACCGGGGAAGGACCACGCTCTCACAGAATACCAGCGTAAAATAGCAGCTTAACGCTACTGTGTTTCGTATGGTGAATGTAGAGAATCGGAGACCCTTTTTACTGGAAATGAGGCATCCCATCCTCACGGGTGACGACGGATCTGCATTTTGATTTGTAATCGAGGTTAGACGTAGATGTTTATGGGCCGCAGCAACCACTTACCATCAGGTGGACTGTGTGCTCGTTTGTCTCCCTTATCCTATAAAAAAGTGCCTCTTCTGTTGTAGGAAGGTATTGTCTTAGTCTTTACACTTGTCAGCTGGATTGATGATGGCATTACTGGACGTGAGCACCTTTTACGCTACTGTCCATTGCCAGTATGAGAATTGTACAACTGTCGTAAAGGAGATAATAATACTGGCATCTGTCGGAAGCCATAAAATTATTCTGGCATTGTCTATAGTCGCGTCTTACGACATCCACGGACCGAAATGGGATGATGGATTCTCAAAGGAAGGGTGACAATTAAAACGATTTTAACCGACTTCAAAAATGAGGATGTACTGAATTAGACTGTATTTTTTATTTTATTTTTATGTGTGTTACCTCATAACTATTTTCTAAGTGAACCTATTTCGATGATTCTTTTTTTATTTGAAAGCTGGCGCTTCTCATATAAATTTGATCAAGGTCTGATCAGTATTTTTTGAATTATCCTTAATAATTTATATTGAACAATCGGTTCGGTTGTACAAAATTTTTAATTTTATCTTCGTCTTCGCCAGGATTAGAACCATTTTTTATAGAATAAGTGTGACAAACAAGCATATATTTCACCTGATGGTGAGTGAACCTGTGGCCCATAGACATCTACATCTATCCTCAATTCAGAATCAATAAAATGGAAAATAAAATGGAATGCCCCATTTCCTGTTAAATCAAAGCAGCGTTAAGCTACTTTTTTATAGGATAGGGTGACAAACGAGTACACAGTCCACCTGATGGTAAGTGGTTGTTGCGGCCTATAGATATCTACATCTATCATCTATTACAAATCAAAATGCAGATGCGTTGTCCCCCGTAAGGATTAAGATGGAATGCCTCATTTCCAGTAAAAAGGGTCTCCGGTTCTTTACACTCACCATACGAAACACAGCAGTGTTAAGCTGCTATTTAACGCTGGTATTCTGTGAGAGCGTGGTCCTTCCCCGGTCGAGCCGACCCATTCGTGCTACAACTATTGTTCGCGCCAAACGCTGTCAAGAATCGACGCCAGATGTCACTCGGCTCGGCGCGATACCGGTTGAAGTTCGGCCGAGCGTAGCAGGGGCGCGCGGGTCGCGAGTGAAAAGGCAGAGTCGTCTGTCAGCTGTACTTGGAACAGCACGCTGTCATTTTTGTCGGGAACTCGGAATAATTCGGCGCGGCCAGTAAATATACGGTCTACCATTGTGACGCGCATTCCTGCTGGAGAGCTTCTCAGGGACTCATTGTGTCTGACTCGGAATCTGCATAAGTGCATTCGGCAATATTAGCTAGTGCGGCCTGATATTCTAGAACTAACTGTTGCGACGCGAAACGGTAGTGACCTTTGATCCGTAAACTCCGTGTGCGTTTTGTGCGTTAACCTTATAACCAGCGATAGTTAGTGGCTTCTGTAAGTTAGTAAATCGTACGATAGAGTTAATTGACTGTCATCGTGACGAACGAGAAAAGTGACTGTGGTCCGGCGCCGAAGCAGTCTGAAGCGGTGCAGCATTTTGGAGCAGCCTGGAACTCGGCCGCGGCTGGTCGTCTATGCTTGACAAGGCCCCACACATTCACACCTCACTGTACACTACTCGCCATCCCCTATTACACACACTCACGGCTTGCCCAAGCCTTGGTGCGAAGTTAGCTTCGGATAATGGTAAGTACTATGTCTTTCTAGCGTCCTCCCATCTGGTTTATTGTAATTAGGAATTTCCACGTGGCCATATTCTGGCCCTGTCCCTCTGCTGCTCGTCGATGGGATTACTCATGGGCCCTAATCCCGTCACCCTTTGGTTGGGGCAGCTAGGGGCGTGTACAACTATACTACTAATATAGCTGTAGCATGGCTCCACCACGTAAACGTACTATTTCTAGATTAGATATATTTAATAAAAATAACAAATTATAATAGGTAGTAAAACAATACTTACCGGTAAGTTTAAAGGAGACGTCTGCCATTCCCAGTTTATTCTCGGCGCGGAAAGTATAGTTGCCAAAATCCGATTTCCTTACGGACCGAAATATTAGCTGATGGTGATTTTCTTGAACCATGATAACTATTCTGTAATATATACACACATAACTAAATATTGAAAGTTGTCATTGTATACTGATATTAATTATTAGGAACTAATTTAGAATAAAGTAATTTTAGGGATTTTATTTAATTTATTTTTATTTCTCGACGTTTCGGGTGTTTAACAGCACTCATGGGCACTGAGGTGTTTGACGTCCCTACATCATATAGTCACCTTCAGCTTTTGAATTTTAATTTTTAGTCCGTTCTACCACAGTTTAATGTTAGACAGTCTTTAAACTGTGGTTCTACGCAAAACGAGCTTACAGTATCTAGAAGTCTTGCAGTGCTTGGGTTTGAATTTAATTTTATTAATTATAGAATTCCAAGCATGTATGTAGTAACATCCATCCATTTTCTCTATTGAAATTTGTTTTTTGTTTTTTTTCAACATATTCTCGTATCATCCTTGATAGGAAGGTTCTTTTGCGAGGATTTGTGGTCTATCAAATTCGATGTAATGGCGGGGACGATCTCGAACATGTTCACAGTGTCGTGCAGCGTCATTGCTTCGCGTCAGCTTTAAGTTATTTTACGCAGGTTTTTATAGATCTGTTTGTTTCTCGTGTCAGACATTTGAATTTATTGCCTTGTGTTATAAACTGCACGGGACATGTTTATACAAATAAATGTCAAAAACATCAAATGCCAAATAATGTAACTGCACCTGTTTTTGAGTTCAGCATAATTTATGAAACACAACTTCCGCTCACAATCAGGTGGAAAGTGTGGTCGTTTCTAACCCTTTCGTGCATATAAAGGTGCTTTCTAATGAGAAATCCAAACAATTCTAATTGTACTAACAGACGGGCCTGAGGACTTACTTTGCGCACTAATTTACGGTTAATTTTTCGTAACTCGACTGTCTAACTCAGTCGACTGCACAGAGTACCTTTGTATAAACCGAAAGTCGACTGCGAGCGGCCAATAAGACTAGTTTTTTGTTTTGTAAACCGCGAACGTTGTTTTCGACGACTAAAAAAACGTCGTCATTATTTACGTACTCACTTGTACTTAAGGTTGCCACTGAAAATCAGGACTAGGAAGACACATCTTAGCATTTCCTGAGTGGCAGTTCTATTTGGACTATTTCCCATAAAATAAGTTTTTACGGTTAGCCATTCGCTTTTTGTATTTATTTTGTATCTATCTGCATGTTTTTTTTGGTCAAAATGATTTATTTTTCATGATAAGTGTATAATTAAGTCTAGTTGTAAGGTTACCTATACATAAAGTTTATTTTGAGTATCCAGTGCAAATTTGTTAAAAATGGCCAAATAAATATATCTTTCTTTCTTTCTTCTCTCTTTCTTTCTTCTTTCTTTCTTTGCCTTTGTATTTGCCTAAAAAGATTAACTGTCGTAAATAAAAATACAACCGCGTGGCATATTTACCGTGCCAGCTACACTCGCCCGACCCCCGTTCGATCCACAGTTGCTACAAAGATTTTGTTCTGAATTACCGGTGTAGCAGTATACACAGAAAAGTCTTTGGTGAAATTATTAAAAGTTATACAACCTGCACAAAACAACAGTAATCATTGTATAATGTTGGCATACCTGTCATCAGTCTTGACCGGGCTGCCGTCCCTGAACCAGGCGGTGTTGGCGGGTGGTGCTGCAAACTCCAGCGTCGCCACCAGTGCCGCGCGGAGCCCAACCGCGGTGTGAACGAAGCTCCGATCGACTTTCACTACTGGCGCATCTATTACACAATAGCAATTTATTATTTGTAACATTGATGTAACTAATAGTTGTGAACATTTTTCACGTGGTAGAGCCAAGCTGCAGCTATATTAGTAGTATAGTTGTAGCACGAATGGGTCGGTTCGACCGGGGAAGGACCACGCTCTCACAGAAAACCAGCGTAAAATAGCAGCTCAACGCTGCTGTGTTTCGTATGGTGAGTGTATAGAACCGGAGACCCTTTTTACTGGCAAAGAGGCATTCCATCTTAGTCCTCACGGGTGACAACGCATCTGCATCTTGATTTGTAATAGAGGATAGATGTAGCTGTCTATGGGTCACAGCAACCACTTTCCATCAGGTGGACTGTGTGCTCGATTGTCACCCTATCCTATAAAAAAACATACAGATGCGCTGTCACGTCATTACTAAGCCACCATTTTTAACATTTTTACGACCTAATTTTGCTTTCGGAGGCCAGTCTCAACGAAAACTAGCCATATGTGCAGGACAGAATTATAGTGCACGAGCGTGTGCTACTCGTATATTCCCTTACTCTAGTCCAATAGGATGTAAATCCGACACGATCGGATAGTGATCAGGTGCAGAAACAACGACTTTAGATTCTTTCCATGACGCGAGGTTAAAACATCGCTAACATCCTGACTCTGAACGGACTGCTTAACAGAAAAATCCAATAAATTATTTTGGCCCAACTGGGATTCGATCTCGGGACCTAACGAGATAGTCAACCACAAAACAACAACTTATGATCGGGTCGAGTGTGAAAATTTGTCACTATTATTTGACTTATCTAATGCCTTTGATTGTGTTAACCATGACGCAATAATCAGGAAACATCAACATTATGGTGTAAGAAATGTTATTACTTAACTTATTAGCTTTTATAGAAAGAAAGAAAGAAAGAAGAAAGAAAGACATTTATTCACTGGAACTGTACACATCACAAAAATAAAAAATAACAAGTTAAAAGTATGGAAGATTAAAATTACAAGAGTGTATCGAGCCAGTGAAAAGGTTATGACTCAGCGTAATGCTGCAGGGTAACCTACAGCGCTGATGATTCTGCCATAACCACAGAAACACGCACGATCCGCCTGGAAGTGTTTATGACATACATTTCAATAATTATTTGATAAATTGAATTATTTCCTTGCTAATAAATATACCTACATATACATTTAGGGATATACACACATACATACATACAAGACATATTATACATAAATATATTCATATCATATTATATTCTATATAAAACTAAAAAGGTTTCAAAACATATATTAAAATAAACGTAACAATAAGCTTAGAAAATACACACCAAAAACAAACATATAATGCTCAACGATGCTGGAAGATAGGCTCAAGGTTGAGCTTTTTGTGAGTGTAATAAATGATTTTTATAATGGGATTTAAAATTGTACTTTGAATTACACTCACGAATAGGTTTATTTAAAAATTTTATTCATAAAGTTAAAGTTACAGGCTATATATACGTCCTACTGCTGAGCACAGGCCTCCTTTCACTTCTGGAAGGTTTTAAGGGTATTTACCATGTGCTCGGCGGTGAGGGTGAGGCTTGTGAGGAAACCTGCACGTCTGAGAAATATGTTTAAGTTATAGCAGCCACGGTAAGAATTGCTCCGCGTCGATAGTACAAGAGGGCGTTCCTAAGGGCGAAGTGCTCAGCCCTATCCTGTTCCTTTTAAGTATTCATAACTAATCTTACGTAGCAGGAGATAACCATGATATAGTTTTATTTGCTGATGATACTTCATTCCATTTCAAACTAAAATACAAACTGATATATACACACTATGAGCTTCCTCACCTTGTATAATCACTCTTATGGCGGCCCTCACGGGATCGCCAACTCCGTTGCTAGCAGTGCACTCGTACACTCCGGCCAGAAGTCTGTGTTCTGCTCTGAATTTAATGCGTGCGCGATGCTCCAGGAGCGCCATTGGTTCACCCTAAAAAGATTATATGCATATTATTTTTATTTATAAGCGTGTACCCGAGTCTATAAAATACCGGGTGGATCGAGAGTGAGCGAGAGATCGCGTCACTCTAGCGGATCGTTATATCGATTGTGGCGAGGTAGAATTGAGGGTATATCAAAAAAAACCCACTCGTTTTTGCAGTGTAAATTTCAGTGTAGGTGCCGAGCGCGGGATATTCCGCTTGCGTCATTCCAAAGTGAAGTCATTCTATGAGTGATAAGACAGTATCGTGGTTCTGTCCGTTATGGTGATTCTTCTGTTGCAGGCGGTGTTGTTTAGAGGGTGCTCTGTCTAAGATGTGTAGTGTTGCTGTTGGTTTGAAGACTTTGATGTTATGATGTAATTATGTCCTTCACTTCACACCAGTGTGTAATCGTGACGGGGACATATTACGTCATGGTCGAAGTGTAATTGCTCTATACTGAATGTATAGTGCATTATGCTGTCTTATTACTGATAATGGTTGATTGCGTAAGCAAGAAAGCAAGTTGAACATATGCTCTAACACTTTTATTATTTTTAACAATTAACTTTATCCTGATGTATTTCCGAGATCTGAAGTGGGATCTCCTGTTGTATTTTTCTTTATAGGATAGGGTGACAAACGAGCACACAGTCCACCTGATGGTAAGTGGTTGCTGTGGCCCATAGACATGCACATTTATCCTCAATAAAGAATCAAAATGCAGATGCGTAGTCACCCGTGAGGACTAAGATGGAATGCCTCTTTGCCAGTAAAAAGGGTTTCCGGTTCTCTACACTCACCATACGGAACACAGCAGTGTCAAGCTGCCATTTTAAGCTGGTATTCTGTGAGAGCGTGGTCCATCCCCGGTCGAGCCGACCCATTCGTGCTACAACTATACTACTAATATAGCTGCGGCATGGCTATACCAAGTATAAAATGTTGTATTACCGATAAGCAAATTTAAGCTGCAAAAGTGTTATGTTCATACGCATTATCACAATACCAGCTTTTGCTCGCACGCTCGGAAACGGAAATGCAATTATCATTTTCCTGTGAGAAAAAATAACCATTTTATTTATCCAGGACACAATTTATCTCTGTGCTAAATTTTAAAACAAATACAAGACTGCGCTTAATTAAGTCCATTTGATGGTAAGCGACTATTGCAGTCCACGGACACCTGCAGTCAACTTCAAACGAAGAAGGCTACTACAATCGCGCACACCTCTGAAGACTAAGATGGTATACCTTCACAGCCCGTAAACATACTGTCTATTTATACTCTTCGGCAGAAATACTAATGAGAATGGTACCTACTCAGACGGGACCCTGGGCAGAAGGGAGTATTACGTAGTATGAAGTAATAGAGAAGACGGATGTAGTTATGACGGATTCCTAATAACAGAAAATAATTTTAATGACTAAAGCCGCTAACGTCGTAGTCGTACCGATTATGTGCTCCCAAGAAGTCGAACGCGTGTTCCAGCCGCGTGAAAAGGATACCGCCTTGGAATGCGCGCCAAATTGTTCGTTCTAAAGCCGCGTCTCCACCAAAGTTTTGTTGTCAACACAACATTTGCCAATAAAACTTGTTTCGATTTTCGGCGGCAACATCAAAGGAGTACGCTTGTTGCCGACATTTGTTCCCTAGGTGGAGACGCTTGTTGACAGAAACATTTGTTGGCAAAACATGTTGGCAAATGTTGTGTCGACAACAAAACTTTGGTGGAGACGCGCCATAACGCTTAAACGTGGAGCGGGCCATTCAATCTAGTGTCGGTTTTTTTACCGCGTATCAAAGTAGCCCTTACATTGGCATGTGCCCTGGAGATCACGGGAATTTTAATAAAATGTTTTGTTATAATTATTTTCAGTTTTAAAAAACTTTCATTACTTATGATTTAGCTTACTTCAAAAATATACAGAAAAAAAAATTTCAATGTGTCAAAAGTAACGTTTGCTGTCATTGCGAAACAAAATGTCAGGAGGGTCGAGTAGTCGCCGGCGCATTGAGGTAAATAATAATAAAAATATCCTAGTAGATCTATTAACTTCATTGTTTTTCAATTTGAAATTTATAGTAGGAACATAAAACTTCTCATATGTAGTATTTGCATAAATTATAATTATTTATAAGGTAATTTTTATTGCGTCGAAATTCAGTTGTGCCTTGTAGGGCACCTTATTAGGTTACCTGAAATTGTATGTTGTGCCTTACAGTGCACACGTTCACTTAACAGAAAAGTGTTTATGTGCCTTACAGGGCACTTAGCCAGTTAATAGTACTTCTCTTGTGTCTTTTGTAGGTTACTTTAATAATACTTTTTCACCTATATTGTCCATGCTTTTACATTCCTCCAGCTTTTTTTTTGTTTTGAGATGGTCATAAAGCTGGAAATAGTGTTACACTGACGTCAGTCACATATATATACATATATATATTAGCAATAGTTTAGACGTACATATATGCTATAGTTTTTTGAGCACAATTCTTTGTAAAACTGATCAGCAACCGAAGTCAGAACAACATTATTTCCAATCGAACGCTGTCGATTGCTGACAGTACGAGACCGACGTCAGCGTAATACTATTTCCAAACTGAGTACTTTTTTTTATATTTTCAGCACATAATGTCTTTCGTTCTACCTGATAAAGCTAGCGAAGAAACTTTTGATTCAGATGATGCTCAGAAATTCGTCACTACAAACATATATAACAGTAAAACTGTTAGTGAAACTGAAAGTGAAGATGAGATTTCAGTATCCCCAAAAGCTATGATAGTTCCTTCTTTGAGTCTAAACTATGTTAGATCCAGTCAAGCTACGGTTCATCAAACCTCTGCTGTCCAATGTTTGAATTCTGTTGAATATCCATATAGTTATGATCCTTATTTGCCGCAAATACCCAGTGTTTCGGAACAATCCCTTGTCAATGTTACCGATTCCAAGCAGAATTTACCATCAGTGTCATCCTGTTATGAGACCCCATCTATAATGGATCAAAATATGCTATCTGAAATCGGTATCATTGAGTCACCTTACACGCAAAACAAAGAAAAAACTGATGAGATATTATCAAGCCCTTGTCCTAACTTTCTGGATGATTTCTATTTGAACAGTGACTGTGAGATAGAAGATGTAGCGAAATCGACTCGTAAGCAAAAACTAGTAGCTAAGACGTCTACTTCAAATAAAGAATTAAAAAAACTGCTGAACTTGCGGAAATTACGCCTAAACGAAGGTCTCTTCGTCAGAAATCTTTGATTTCTCAAACGCAAACTCAAAATAGTCCGAAATTATATATACAAGCTTCATCTAAAGATTCCTGCTACTATCATTCACAAACCAAACCCACAACAACTAATACAAATAGTAAAAGTAGCAATAAAGCAAAAACAGACCAAAATTTATATAAATCAAAAACTAAAACGATTTTACGGATCCATAACCAAAAAGAATACACTAATAGGACTAAATCAACCTCATTAACAGATAAACTTACAACTAATAAAACAAGTAAAGCTATTGGTCTTTGTGAATGGGTAGGAAAAGAATTTGCTTATGGAGTACAAAACTTAAAGGAAAACCAGTTTACAACTCCTAATGAAGTTGGCAGCCCTTTAGAATATTTTTATAAATTTATTGACGAAGATTTAATACAGTACATAAGAGATCAAACAATTTTGTATGCGTACCAAAAAGATTCCAAAGAATTAACGTTGAGTACACAAGATATCAAGGATTTTTTTAGTGTTGAGATATTTATGGGTATTATCCAGTTACCCGCGTATGTTGATTATTGGTCTAAGGATTTTAAAGTAGATTGTGTTATAAATGTGATGTCCCTCAAAAAATATCAGTTAATAAGACGTTATCTCCATTTCAATGACAGTGAAGTTGAAAATGAGAGCAATGACCGTTATTACAAAATTCGCCCTCTGTTTGATAAAGTTATATCCAACTGCAGAAAGATTGAAGAAGAAAGTAGAATGTCCATTGATGAGATGATGGTACCGTATAAAGGGAAGAAGTCAGGTGAATTAAAACAATACATAAAAACTAAGCCTAAAAAGTGGGGGTACAAAATGTTTGTTAGAGCAGGAGTCTCTGGTATAGTGTATGACGCAATTCTATATGGTGGACAGTATACTTTTTCGGGAAGGGATTTTAGTGATTATGAAAATACCTTGGGATTGGGTGCCAAAGTTGTCCTTTCTTTATGTCGCACGATAAGAGATCCCGTACTAACTGTGGTATACTTTGATAACTATTTTTCAAGCGTCGAGTTAATGCACCATCTACGAAACGAACTGGGTATCTTGTCGATTGGCACATTTCGACAAAATAGAACGAGAGGATGTATTCTGAAGGATGACAAAGAAATGAAGAAGATGCCTCGAGGATCGGTGGATATGAAAGTTTGTGAGGAAAAAAAATAGTTTTAGTGAAATGGTTTGATAATAAAGGAGTTTTGCTAGGTAGTAACTACACCGGCGTTGAACCAATGGGTGTATGCAAACGATATTTCAAGGATAAAAAAGAATATCGAGAGATTCCTTGCCCAAACATCGTAAAAGAATACAACAAGCATATGGGCGGTGTAGACTTAGCCGATATGTTAGTGGCTATTTACCGGACCATCTACAAAACAAATAAATGGTATATGCCTATTTTTTCTCAGCTGTTGGACGTAGCTATAAATAATGCATGGCTTTTGTACAGAAGGGTATGTGGCCTCAAGACTGGCGTCGACGATCATATTGCTTTGAAAGCATTCCGTTTTAAAATGGCACAAGAAATGAGTTCATATATTCCAAAAGCACTGGCTGAAAATGTCGAGCCTCCGAATCGAGTAAACCAACGCCGCATAATTAGCAGGCCTATCGCAACTCGACCAGAAGCAGAAAGTCGATATGACGGTAAAGAGCACTTTCCTAAAATCACAACAAAAGGCCGTTGTAGACTTTGTGTGAAAGGAAAAACTACTTTCTTGTGCATAAAATGTAACATGCGTCTATGTATTCAACAAAATCGCAATTGTTTTTATACTTTTCATCAAAAAGAACAAGAAACATAGCAATAAAATATTTTTATTACTCTTTAGCCCTTCAGTTAAATTAGAAAATATACTTAGCTGATAATTTACTTAGCTTATAAAAAATTTAGAACCTTTACTTGATTATTGATCTCAAAAGTGTGTACTTTCATATGTAAGCATTTTTGTAAGCAGAATATTTATTTTTTGTTGTATTTTTATATCCTTTATGGCGTTTGATCTCAGATTAAAATAATGATATAAGTAAGGAGGATTTAATAATTTTGTGAAGTATATTTTTATAAGATTTATGATGTTTTATCTTACATCAATAAAAAATCTCAGCACTGTTAATTCCACAGGTTTAGTAGTATATTTTTATGAAAATTTTAAAATATAAAACAAAAAATTTATTGCTAATTAGTCGGCAATGTGCTCTACAGGGGACAGGAAAATGCCGATTTAATTTTCTGGAGACATAGCGAAGTGCCCTCTAGAGCACATATGATTTTCCAATAAATAAACAAAAAATATTTTTTCTATTATTGTTTAAGATGCTTTTGTTACTAATATATTACAAATAAATAGTTTTTTCAGTCAAAATCGTCTTTTTGTGTTTTGCCAATCTAAGGGTTAAGTTTTGGCGCGCGCGCCGGTTGGGACGTTTGTTTTCATAATTCGTGTATTCGTTGCATTCCGAGCTATGGACAACCAAAGTTGTCGTAAATTAATACAATTATATAGTATAAAAGATCTGCTATGGAATAGAAAAAGTAGTTTTTATCATAATAAAGCGCTCAGAGAAGATGCATGGAGAGAACTATTAAAACGGCAGCTCCTCGTACACGAGTACACGATCGACACGTTGAACGGTCGAACATTAGAATAGCTGTCGCAAGGCCCAGGCACGCTTAGTTGATACACTTGGAACATTTGCCACGCGTCCCGCGGAACGCACTGGTCGGCGCGGTCATTCATGGCACGCGCGTTAGGAGCGCGTAATCGATACGCGGCTTAATGGGTTTAATAAGTTTACTGTACGTACATTTTTTCTCCACTCAAAAGTTGGTTTAGGTGTACCAGTAGCTTCGCATCCGATGTCCACGTATTCCCCTTTGCGTACTTCTAAAAATCCGTCTTCTGGGATTGTTCGCACCGTTGGGGAACCTAGGCACAAAATTTAACGTTTTATTAAATGCTTAATAAGAAAAAGTCTTTATATATAGCCAGCTATAATTATCCTTTGTTTCTTTATACCGTGTAATGGCGGTTTTTTTTAACCGAATTCAAAAAATGAGAACTAAATTCGACTGTATTTTTTTTGTGTGTGTTATTGTGAACCGATCTTGATGATTCTTTTTTTTATTTGAAAGATCAATATCTGACTTTACTAGTCAGATTTTTGAGTTATCCTTAATAATGCGTATTTAATTGACATCGACTACATTGATCATCTTATCATTTTATTTAGTCGTTTGTGCAATTTTTTCAATTTTACCACTGTTTTTATAGAATAAGTAAGGCTGATTAACGAGCACACAATCTACCTGGATGGTAGATCTGTCGCTCATAGACATCTACATTTATCCTCGATTAAGAATCAAAATGCAAATGCGTTGTCACCCCTGAAGACTAAGATGGAATGTCTCGTTTCCAGTAAAAAGGGTCTCAAAAATGTGTAAGAATATCCACTACCCCATATCGTCTCGTGGCTGTAGTAAGATACCACAGAGGTAAACAAACTTGAAGATGGGCAGCAGAGTCTTCTTAATATAAACTAGAAAAGATAAATAGCTTTTAAGGCAATCTATGGGGACGCCTATCTTTGACTTGGATAGGCTTTTGTGTATAATAAATCATGAAAGAAGTAATTAGGTACTTACATTGCACTTCAATGGAATGTGTTTGCTTGATCGGACCCCAGGGTTCTGGCCGGACGACCTAAAAATGATAAAAATAAAAAAGTAAAGCACCACAAGATTAATTCCTAGTAGTTGAAAGCAGTTACATATTTAGATTTTTTTTAATCTATTAATAACAATTAAAAGATGGGTTGTTATGATGATGATGAAGAAGCAGACTTCGAAAATCTAAAGAGAATAAAATAGATAAAGGATTTGTAAGCTACAATGAACCTATCATCCGTCATTTTACTGGCTCTCCAAACTCTTCAAACCTGAATAAAATATACAGGTGCCTTGTAACCTCTGCAGGATCCGACACAACCTGAAAGAGGACAGGCGCAGGACCAACAGCTTTCTCAGGCACGGGGGTAGAACACTACAACTTTCTGCCTCCGGGAAACTGACTGAGAATTTCTTGATAGAAAAACTGATTTTGGCCCGATCCCGGATTTGAACCCGAGACAGTCTGTTACAGCTACGACCACTATTACAACGAGGCCACAGTCTAACTAGACTTCGTTTGACTGTCTAAGAGGTTAGACTGTGACGAGCCAGTCGAGCCGAGATAGAATCTATCACAGTCCATAATTAAACTGACTCTTCATATACTTCGTACTAAAATCCGACATGGCTACTCCACTACTTGGCGGTGTAAGGTTCCCGAACGCGCTCTAAGATAGCAAAGGAGCCCCAAAAATGTTTGTTTCTAATAAATACCATGAGAACGACAAACGAAGTTAAAAATAACTACGAGTTGAAATCGACGGCTTAAACAAAGAGTTGACCAAATTGACTAATTGCGTAATTGGCTACTCGCTAGAGTAAGGGATATATTACTAGTGATGTGATTATTATCGATAGGCGATTGCTATCGGTAAAAGAAAACTGTAATGTAATTTAGATTGTTTTAAATACAGGTATTACCCTCACTAAATAATTAAGGGATAGGAAAAAAACTGCTATTCAATGCTCCGTTCTATTCAGAGTGTAGTATTTGGCTGACAGTTCACTGCCGTGCGATTTATGCGGAATTTTCTGCCTCGCACGACCATACTGTGGAATTTACTGTCGCCAGCGGTTTTTCCGGACCGATACGAATTAGGGACCTTCAAGTAAAGAGCCTACTCCTTACTAAAAGGCAGGCAACGCACCTGCAACACCAGGGAAATTGCAGATGTTCATGGACGACGGTGATCACTTACCATCAGGTGAGCCATGCTCTTTTGCCTCCCCTCCCATAAATAAGTCATTCAGAAAAGTATGATTTAGGCCTTAGTTGCTATTCTGTTACTTTTACGCTATTAAGGCGCGACGAAAGCGGTACACAATTATAATATTCCAAGGAGTCGCGCATAAGTAGACACAATCGTTTAACAATCTAAAATCACGGGACAGACAAAGGTGTATCTCACAATATTAGGATCATTTGCAAAACTGTGAAAAGACGCTATGATTAAAATCTCTTCAAATATAAAAGATCTTAACATAGCTTAGCAGAAGCCTACGCATATACAGTAATTTTGCTGAAAAAAAAAATACTTACTTGCAAAATGCTATTTTTAACCACCGATGCAAAAAAGGGGTGTCATAAGTTTGACCGCTATGTTTGTCTGTCTGTCTATGTGTCTGTCTGTGACGCCGTTCCTCTTAAACGGGTGAACTCATTTGGGTGCGGTTTTTTTTATTAAAAGCAGATTTTTAACGGTGGTTCTTAGACATGTTTTTATTGAAATCGGTTCAGCCGTTTCTAGGTCTTCGGCTGTTTTTGTTTCGAGGTATTTTTTTAAATTTTCAGTTTAAGTTATTTGTTAGTTTCATATCGTTTATTAATTTCCACGACACACAGTGACCTATAAACCTTTTTTGATGTAATTTATAAATATTTGAAACTCCTTTATCAAGATATCGATGCCAACAATGCCCAACACTAGCATCAAATTAGTATTTGTTAAGATCGAAGGGCGGTTCGTTTACACAAATTAATTGCTGTACGCGAGAGATACTTTCCGCAGTTTTGTTTCGCAATCGACTATTTACAATTTATTGACATGAGTTTACTCACAGAATACAAGCGTAAAATAGCCGCTTGACGCTGATGTGTTTCGTTTGGTGAGTGTAGAGAACCGGAGACCCTTTTTACTGGAAAAGAGGCATTCCATCTTAGTCCTCACGGGTGACAACGCATCTGCATTTTGATTTGCAAACGAGGATAGATGTAGATGTGTAATTGTGTATAGGCCACAGCAACCACACAAACCACTTACCATCTGGTGGACTGTGTGCACGTTTGTCACCAGATCCTATAAAAAAAATAGTAATATGTGTCTATTACAAAAGTTTGGTAGTGGTGGTGTAAGAATATCAACTACCCCATATCGTCCCGTGGGTGTCGGAGGAGGGCAAAGTAAAAAAGCCAGGAGATGGGCAGCTGCGTCAACTATCGCAAATATCCCCCTTATAAGCCCATCTATGGGCGGGCCGGCCGACGGTGACATCTTCCAAATACTTCCAGCAACTATCTACTGAACGGGGCATATTATAATTTTTAATATTAATTGTTGACATATCAATTTGACATAGTTTTTTTGGTTGTATTTTTTTATCTGGTCATTTTCTCGCTCAAAGGCTAAGTATAGCAATTCAGCGGGGAAATGCAGCCATCGTTATTGGCACGATACCGCGGGGAGTAGGACTTTATTATAATTAAGTTACTAGTTTTAGTGTTTTTTTTTTTATTATACTTTTTAATATTGTATATAATAAAATATTTTATATTTTATTTTACATACATTTGACATGATAATAATTCATCATCATCATCATTACAGCCTTCCATAAGTCCACTGCTGAACATAGGCCTCACCCAAGGAATGCCACAAAGCACGGTCCTGAGCCACCTGCATCCATCGACTTCCTGTATGTCTTACCAGGTCGTCACTCCATCTCGTGGGCGGTCGCCATACACCTCGCCTACCGGTACGAGGCTGCCACTCAAGAACCTTTCTTCCCCATCGGTTGGCTTACTTAATCTTAACCTTCTGTATAATAATTTGACACGCTTGAGTATTTCAATATGGCAATTTTGTTCGTATTTTCAATAATTCGCTACGAGCTTGCTTCACTTCGGAATCGACAGTCATTTGAATGGGAGCATTTCTAGCATCCCTTTCGTATATCTGACGCGCTGGAATTAAGTTCTGAACATCTGTAGTAGTTTGTAGTTGTTTTTGAAATTTCACATTTTTGAAAATCTGTAGACGCTTCCTCCACCACTGAAAGGGGGATATTATATAACTTTTTTTTCTTTCATATCAACTAATCTACAAAATCTAATAGGTAAATCCCCACAACGCCCGAGTAAATCCCCATTTAGCAAGTCGGCCTACTATACGTCCCGTCTGTCACGCAGCTTAACATAGCAGGCCTATTCACTTTTCTGCCGACTTCCAAAAAGCAGACGGTACTCAATTCGACTGTGTTTTTTTTGTTTTTTTATGCGTGTTACCTCACCTTTTTACTGGGTGAACCGATTTCGCAGATTCTTTTTTATATGAAAGCTGATACTTCTCGTGTGGTCCCATATGAATTTATTATATTATATTTATTATTATATTATATTTATTATTATATTATATTTATTATTTATTATATTATTATGAATTTATTATATTATTACGAATTTATTATACTTATTTATTATTATATTATATTTATTATTTATTATATTATTGTTATTCTTAATAACTTATACTCAACTTATATTCAAGTCAGCTGTACAAAATTTTTAATTTTAGATTATTCCTATAACTTCCCCTATGCTATTCCGACTATTCCTACGAGGATGTCACTAAGTACACGAGCGCGCGCGTGTGTGATCGGTGTGTGAGTGTGAGTGTGTGAGTGTGAGTGTGTGTGTGTGTGTGTGTGTGTGAGTGTGTGTGTGTGTGTGTGTGTGTGTGTGTGTGTGTGTGTGTGTGTGTGTGTGTGAGTGTGTGTGTGTGTGTGTGTGTGTGTGTGTGTGTCGTAATAAATTTCGTTATAATAGGTGGAATTAGGATGGAATGCCTCGTTTCCAGTGAAAAGGATATTCGGTTCTTGGTGGTACGTGTTCTACGTGGTCCTTCCCCGGTCGAGCTGATCCCTTCGTGTTACAACCATAATATAGCTGCAGCGTGGCTCTACCACGAATAGCTAAAGGCCAAAGACTAAAGAAGGCTATTATATACTATGTCCCTTACCTCACAAGTGTAATCAGCAGTATCATGCGCTCCCAGGGCGTCCACTTGCAGGCTGTAGTTAGCGTGCATGCGTATCCTGGGCGGTAGCAGGTGGTGCTGATCCAGAGTGTCTCCCAGCAGCTTATCGTTCTTGTACCACCGGACGCGGACAACTGTTTCTAGAATAAATAAAAAAAAAGCAGCAGGTAAAAAAAAGCCAGTGCATTGTGAAATTGACATCGATGCGTACATTTAATGGATCCATCCATTTTTAATTTTGTTTTTTTTTTCCTTGTATTATTCCCGCCGGCCAAACATGGCAGCTATGGCGAAAATCCTCCTTGTGAGAATCGGGAGACCTATGGCAGTGGACTTTTATATTCTGAAATTGATGCATGTATAGAAGATAATGTACTAGGAGCACATGACCCACTGAGAGGTGAAATCATTAAATTAACAGTAACATTAGACTGCATTGCGCAGAAAGCAGGAGTGTTATCAAGCCTGGGCTGCGGCTTCGGTGACTCGGGATGTAAACACCAGCACACTTAAAAAGAAGTATAACTTCGCCTCCAGGTCCTTCAAAAGAGTTATTGCCAAGGCAAAGTCAGAGCACATAGGCAGAATTGGCGAGAAACTAGTTCGCCTTCCTTCGGGAACCCGTGCATTCTGGTCTCTCGCCAAGGCTGTCCAAGGGAATTTCTGTAAGCCATCACTACCATCTCTGCACAGGGAGGACGACTCACTGGCCCACGACGCAAAAGAGAAGGCCGACCTTTTAGGCTCCCTTTTTGCGTCCAACTCGACTGTTGATGACGGGGGGAACACACCGCCGACCATCCCGCGGTGTGAGTGCTCTATGCCGGATGTGCTATTCTCACAGCGCTCGGTTCGCAGAGCACTCCTCTCCCTTGACATCCACAAGTCGAGTGGGCCTGACGGAATCCCCCCAATTGTGCTGAGGACGTGTGCTCCGGAGTTGGCACCGGTTCTAACGCGTCTTTTCCGGTACTCCTACTCCCATGGCGTTGTCCCGAACTCATGGAAGACAGCTTTTGTCCACCCGATCCCTAAAAAAGGCGACCGCTCAGACCTGTCCAACTATAGGCCTATCGCGATCACCTCCTTGTTCTCCAAAATAATGGAATCCATTATTAACTGCCAGCTCATCCGGTACCTTGAGGATCACCAGCTGATCAGTGACCGCCAATACGGTTTTCGTCGGGGTCGATCAGCTGGTGATCTTCTAGTCTACCTGACCCATAGATGGGCGGAGGCAGTAGAGTCCAAGGGGGAGGCGTTGGCCGTTAGTCTGGACATTGCGAAGGCCTTCGATCGGGTTTGGCACAAAGCGCTTCTTTCGAAGCTCCCTTCCTATGGGCTTCCCGAGAAATCGTGCAATTGGATCACCAGCTTCCTTGCAGATCGGAGCATCAAGGTCGTTGTAGACGGTGCATGTTCTGACTACAAGCCTATTAACGCTGGTGTTCCACAAGGCTGTGTGCTATCACCAACGCTGTTTCTTCTGCATATCAATGATATGTTGCTAACTGGTAACATTCATTGCTATGCGGATGACAGCACTGGTGATGCTCTATACACCGGCCGGGCCAATATTTCTCGGGAAAACGTCGCCGAGTACCGGAACAAACTTGTGTCTGAAGTCGAGTCTTTGCTGGACAAAGTCTCGGATTGGGGGCGACTAAATCTAGTCCAGTTTAATCCTCAGAAGACACAAGTTTGCGCGTTTACCGCTAAAAAGAACCCCTTTGTCGTATCTCCTCAGTTTCAAGGCACTCCCCTTCTTGCCTCAGCCAGTATCGGTATCCTCGGAGTCGACATATCGAGTGACGTGCAGTTTCGTGGTCACTTGGAAGAGAAAGCCAAATTGGCCTCTAAAAAGCTTGGCGTGCTCAGCAGAGCGGGACAGTATTTCATGCCGGCACACCGCCTGCAACTTTACAAGGCGCAGGTTCGGCCTCACATGGAATACTGTTCCCATCTCTGGGCAGGGGCTCCCCAGTGCCAGCTCCTTCCACTTGACCGCATCCAGCGCAGAGCGGCTCGAATCGTCGACGACCGAGCCCTTTCCGATCGGCTCGATTCATTGGCACTGCGAAGAGATGTTGCATCTCTTTGCATTTTCTTTCGCATCTACCATGGGGAGTGCTCTGAGGAATTGTTCGGATTAATCCCAGCCGCCAAATTTCATGAACGCACATCGCGGCAGAACTCCCGATACCATCCACACCATCTGGATGATTGGCGGTCCACCACTGTGCGATTTAGAAGATGTTTTCTTCCTCGCACGACTTCCTTGTGGAATCGATTACCATCAGCGATTTTTCCGGACCGATATGACTTAGGGACCTTCAAGAAAAGAGCCTACTCCTTTTTAAAAGGCCGGCAACGCATCTGCAATTCCCCTGGTGTTGCGGTTGTTCATGGGCGGCGGTAGTCACTTACCATCAGGTGAGCCGCATGCTCGTTTGCCCCCTCTCCTATAAAAAAAAAAAAAAAAAAAACTATGACAAAATCGCACCTATGAGACAATCTATAGCGAGGCCTATGTTCAGCCGTGGACTTTTATTGGCTTTAATGGATGAAAATGGAAAATTCTATTCCATTAGGAATATAATTGAGCATGCCATGTATGCACATACTTTTCTCGTGCATAAACTATTTCAAGATGGTGGTAGAGCGGTATGCAGCTATATTATGGTTGCACGAATTATTCGACAAAACTATCGGGGTAAAACCACGTTCTCACAAAATACCAGCGTGAAATAGCAGCTTAATGCTGCTGTATTTCGTATGGTGAGATTAAAGAACCGGAGGCCCTTTTTGTTGGAATCGAGACATTCCATCAAACTCTGGGGTGACAACGCATCTGAATTTTGATTCTTAATTGAGGATAAATGTTGATTTCTATGGGCCACAGTATTCACTTACCATCAGATGGACTGTGTTTTTGTCTTTTGTTTTAAAAAAAAAACGTTACCTCCACACTAGGATATTCTTCTGTATCGTGGAGGCAGTTTACAAACATAAATTGCACAAGGACAAACATCCATACTCGGTACAATTATTTGTAGGCCATACAAATACTTGGTTAAGTGCGAGATTCGAAGCCGCGGTCCTTAGCGCTGCAACTCAATTGCTAAGCCACTGCGCCCGCAGCCGTCGCCTTTTGTCACCTTTATACTATAAAATAAGCGTCAAAATCTGTCGTCTATATTCAGCTTTGGAGGCTTTGATAGGTTTTTTTATAGGATAACGTGACAAACTAGCACACAGTCCACCTGATGGTAAGTGGTTGCTGTGACCCACAGACATTCACATCTATCCTCAATAAAGAATCAAAATACAGATGCGTTGTCACCCGTGAGGACTAAGATGGAATGCCTCATTTCCAGTAAAAAGGGTCTCCGGTTCTCTACTCTCTAGTCTAGTGTTAAGCTGCTATTTTACGCTGGTATTCTGTGAGAGCGTGGTCCTTCCCCGGTCGAGCCGACCCATTCGTGCTACAACTATACTACTAATATAGCTGCAGTATGGCTCTACCACGTAAAAAATGTAGGTTGTAATTCAATCAATCAATGAAATAAACACAGACTATGTTTATGTCCTACGTTATTTAAATGTTTTAGCTTAGTTAATGTGAAGTAATTTAATATAGTTCCGAATAGAATAGAATGATTTTTATTCAATATTGATTATTACATAATACTTATTTAAAGTCATTTTTTTATTTACCACTGGTTCAGAAAATACCTCTGTCCTGGGAAGAACCGGCAAGAAACGCAGCGGGACTTTTTTTTAACATAATTTCACTTAACAATAATTTTGTTCATACCATTTTAAATAAATTTTCATAGAACCAGCATGGTGGCGATCACCTTATTCCCAGGGGTTATTTTCATTCATGTATTCCTTGATATTATAATAACCCTTTTTGTACAGTTTTTCTTTAATAAAACTTTTAAACTTGTTTATTGACAAACTTTGAACATGTTCTGGGATTCTGTTGTAAAAGCGTATACATTGCCCCATAAATGAATTACTAATTCTGTGGAGTCTAGTAACTGGCATTACAAGCTTATGTTTGTTCCTAGTTTAGGGTATGAACATCCTTATTCTTATTAAAGCTATTTATGTTTTTATGTACATACATCACATTTTCATAAATATATTGTGATGCCAAAGTTAATATGTTTATTTCTTTAAATTTTTGTCTGAGGGACTTTACAATTTAGGTTATTAATCGCCCGAACGGCTCTCTTTTGCAAAACAAATATAGCTTCAATATCAGTCGCATCACCCAATAGCAAAATTCCATAAGACATTACGCTATGAAAGTACCTAAAATACACTAACCTAGCTGTCTCAACATCTGTGAGACTTCTAATCTTTCTTACAGCATATGCTGCAGAACTAAGTCTGCTTGCTTACTTAGATATATGGGGGCCCCATTGAATTATTTGCAATTTATTATTCCTTTTCTGATTTTGCCTAGTTACTTATATTTTTATCACTTACTTTTTCATGTGGTAGAATCATGCTGCAGTTATATTACTGGTATAGTTGAAGTACGAATGGGTCGGCTCGACCGGGGTAGGACCACGTTCTTGCGGAATACCAGCGTAAAATAGCAACTAAACGCTGCTTTGTGCTGTGCTGCTTTTTACTTTAAACGAGACATTCCACAAGCTAGTGATACCAGTTTCTCGACTCAACAGAGTCAGTAATTCATTCTTGGGGCAATGTATACGCTATTACAACAAGGTCCCGGAAAGTGTACAGGCTCTCTCTATTAGCAAGTTTAAATGTTTCGTTAAGTTGAAACTGTATAAAAAGGGTTATTATAGTATAAATGAATACATGGTTGATAATAACCCCTGGGAATGAAGAGATCGCTTCCAAGCTGTTTCTAAGATAAATTTTGTACTTATATAGTTTGTACAACGATTATTGTAAAATTTGCTTTAAAAAAAAGTCCCGCTGGGTTTCTTGCTGGTTCTTCCCGGGACAGACGTTTTTTTTTCGAACCAGTGGTAAAGTAAAAACTGACTTTCAATAAGAATTACACATGTGATCTATATTGAATAAAAAATTATTCTATGCTATTCTATTCTATTCCATCTTAGTCCTCACGGGTGACAACGTATTTGCGTCTTGC